CCATCTAAAGATTTAACACAATATTGAGTAAATGAAAATAATAAAGTTGTTATCTCACACTTGAATCAAATCTTTTAAATGTTTAGGCTAATGTGGAAAATGGTCAGTATCTTTTTTCTACATCCAATATACAGGGCGTCTTGAAAAACTGTATACCTAATGGTCTTACAGATTTTCTTGGACAAAACGTGAACAACTCAGATACATCAACATTGTCTCCTACAAGTGAGGACAATGTTGCTGTTTTAATACAAGCATTCATGCGATAAATGAAAATCTGTACAGTACGCTAGTGAGAGAATAGTCCCTGAAATATTGTCTCTGTACAGTGAACAACCCATCTATTGTCCTACATAACTCTTTGTCTTAAATCAATTTCTTTAAATACCTATCTGAAATATACTTTATAAAGAGAACAAATAAAAGGAAGAACAATAACAGTGGAAATAAAGATAATTTTAATGAGGAATTGAAAGTTACATACAATTTCTTTTCTTCAGCTTTGGTAGAGGACAGGTCTCTGAAGGAACACATGCAAGGAACTTATCAGACTGCAAAATTTCACAAAGCAACAAAGGCAGATTAAATTAACTTCAAATTACATTGGATATTATGGCTGTATTGTGGGGCTGACATTCATCTCAAAATGCTTCTGACCATCTATGCTAGGCACCAGTGTCTCATAGCAATCGCATGGAGTCAATTATGTAACATACCAATAACATAAACTTATGATGTGTACTGACCACAGGCAGTACACATGAATCTTGTCTCGGTCCTCTTACACCACGAACGCCATAGATCTTGAATCACATTATATATAGCCACTCCTCGACTTAATTACAACCCGGACATACGACCTATGGTTGTATAAAATATTTTTGAAATTACTTATTTTCGAGTCCCGACGTTAGTGATCGCGCTGTGTACTGACAAAATTTTCGTTTGTAATTCCCTTTAAAATGGCTGGCAAGCGTAAAAGTGAGAGTTTTCGTGGTGCTGAGAAGAAAAAGAGACACCCATTTTAGAATTTCTATGTATTAATTTCGCCGACTATTTACCTAGACGCGGACGGAACCCCGTCAGAAGTCGAGGAGAGACTGTACACTATTGACATTATTAATCAATACATCTGTAGCCTGACAAGATTTTTCTGGAGATATTTTAGCAGTTGGAAATACCTACCAATAAATCAGAATGCAAACCAAGTATAGCAGTTAAGTCCATGGGTGTAACAGCAGGAGTAACAGATTCAAGATCATCTTCCACCATGAATGATCTGAACCTCGCTTAAAAATCTAAACAGAGGGAATATCTGTCTGAATATTAAGTAATGCAGAGTAATATTTTGCATCTGAACAGGAATGTCTTCCCAAGTGTTTTCCACATCTTAACTTTTTTTGTGCTATCTTTGGCACTCTTTATGTGACTAGAGAAGCAAAATTAATTTTGCTATCTTACATAAAGTTTAAATTTCTTGTATTACATCTAAACACTAAAAATAGATATTGGAAAGATATTCATCTCTTGTGTCTCTTTACATGGACAGATTTTAAATACATTTTATATATTCTACAACAGAGTCAACAGTAATCATATATAACAAAAGGCACGAGCAAGGACCAATCAACATTTTATAATATGAGTGAGAGTGTACTCGTATGTCAGTGTTTGTTTGTGTGTGTTCATGTTCATTTGTGTGTGTAAGTGAGAAATCTAAACTCAAGGAACCAGTCCTTCCATGATTGGAGCCTGTGGCCAGAAGGGAGCCCACCATCGACAAAAAACAACAGCTTGCATCCCATAAATTATCGTACCCATACTGACTGTTCTTCACACTGGCCAAATATCAATAAGGTAATCCTTTATTCTCTGTCTGTGGTCGACAAATGAGTCCTACTCAGTGATAAAGTACATTATTGGTACATTTCCTAAGGATAAACACACCAAGAGTTGTTTTTCTTGTGTACCATGTAAAGATAGCTGGGAGAACTGTGTGAGGATAGTGTATGGACAGTTGAACACAAAGATGGTGGTACAGTATATAAAAAGTGTGTGCGTGTGTGCGTGTGTGTGTGTGTGTGTGTTTTGAAGGTAAAGGTGTGGTGCAGTGTTTTCTAGGATGGAGAATGTAAAAATCATTACACTTTAAGTAACTCAGCTCATCACAGTGGAAGATGTGATGTTAATGTTGCCAGACTTAACTAATTATCCTTAGGTACAGAATTTTGGGTGTTTAATAATTCTTTCATAACAATAAGACCATGGCAAATGAAGTGTATAAAGAATAAACTGTATAAAGATGAAAACTGCATAATATGAGTGGGTTAATAATCTGATCATAATGACCCTCAACTGGTCAATGAACACCAACACATTGGTGCCCACAATGAAAATTTTACTAAATGTAGACATCAAACATATAAACTGAATTAAACCCCACACACTCTGCACTTCATCCTTTAAAAATCAATTTCATATTTCTGTGACCAGTACAGCTAATTTTTTTGTTTAAGTATTCAAAACACATACTGTCCTCATAAAGTTGTAAAAGACTACCCATAACACACAAACAATAATTCAGAAGGAATATAATGAAGCAATACAAATCTGTTTCAGCCCAACCATGAAAAAATTTCACAGGATACAGGTGGTTGTGATTCTTCCTCCTTAACACACACAGAGGCCCTAGCTGATGGCTGAGAGATACTGTATTTTCCAAGGTTGGGATATTGAAAATAGAGGTCAGAGACATCCATGGAAACTGTTAATCCAGCCATTTGCTTTGGACTGTGGCAGGAGTAATTATAATTTCCTATCAAGTAATTACTGTTCAACCCACAGGGCCAAGTGCATGAGTGGTTAAGGATGCTTAATTTGATGCTTATTTTATTAACTTTGTCTTCTACAAGATTCTGAGGGGTCACTACAAGAAGGAATCCAAACAAAGATTGTGAGGCACAGAATCACTCTCCTTACCTCAGAGAAGATATAAAGTGTAGAGACCCTTTAAGATAAAGCAGAGCACTGGCAACACATGCTGACATCTTGTCTGTTCGATAAATATGGAAGTCTTAAGTTTGGAAGCCATCTTTACAACTGAGGGGTTTGAGGCCCGTGAACCGACTCCACGGATTCATCTCGGTGTACAGTAATTACCTGTTGAATTGTTGACTTAAGAGAAACAGTCAGATAAGTGTCGAAGTTTACTTCATACAACTGGAAGAGCAAAAGTTTTAGTTGTAATTTATACTGTTCTAACAGGACAACAATCCAGTGTCAGAATGCAGTTAGCCTTGAGGACAATACAGGCTCTGCCAGGGGTGTTCTGGTGAGTGGCCCTGCAGGCTACTTGCCAAATGACCCAGCGCCCATAAAATAATAAGGATCTTCTAATTCCTCATCTTAGAAACTTAGGGGTGCTGTTCAACAGACCCATTTTGAAATACTCCTCCTAGCCACCTTGAGAAATAGAGATTTGTGTGTGTTTATTCATGACAGTTGCAGTGTATGTAAGAATTAATGGTGTGTGTGATTATGGACAGAATGGTTGTAATGGACAAGTAGCAGTTCTCATATTATGCTAACCCGTTGATCAATAAGCCCTGACTCTGATAAGCACTTGTGCTTTGATATTTTAATCATATATATTGCTATGAACTAGAAAGCACAAAAATTATTGAATAATTAATGGATACTTGAATTATTTTTGTTTTCTTTAGATTTATTTCTTAATGGGAATTTACCATAAATAAATACTGTATATGTGAACTGTCACGGCAGGTATAAAACATAGAAATCACGGGTACAACGCCTGACAACAGACCTACCAAAAATATTAACTTCTTACCTTTATAAATTTTTTCAATTAATTAGAAGCAGAAAAAGAATGAGCATTAAGTTGAAAAACTAAGTGCCCTTCTCCAGATAGTGTGAGTGGGTAGGCTGAGGCCTCTTGATCATTTGAGTGACAGAGACCTTCCTCCTTGGTTATACCACACCAGTGTGTGTGTGTGTGTCTCCTGAATACCTGTACATGCTTCAGAATACAGTACACAGGTTTTGTTTCACTAACATGGGTTCAATTGTGCCAACTCCTGCATCTAGCACCGTAATATCTCTTATCAACACTGACAGAACGTCTTAAAAAACAACCTCTTCCATCACTTGTATCTATCACCATCATGATCACATCTATCAAGATCTCTTGCCTAAGATTTAATAATAATAAAAATAAAATAAAATTGTAAACAGATATTTTGAGTGAATAATAGTTTTACATCACAATAATCTCCAAGAATTGTTTCTGTGTAGCTTTGCTTCACCTCCAACTTGGCTCACCCTGTTTGCCAACACTTTAATCTCAGTCTGTATTCACTAACACTATTGGCAACTAGCGTCAGAAAAAGAAATTTGACAAGCACCTAAAACTGAACTTTATACCTACTGCTTTATCTTCACATTATTCTATGGAATCATTTCGAGACAACACAACCGCAGAAGTTTGAAAGACCAGACTCCACCTTTTCAAAAATGAGACATTCGTTTGATATTACTGTATTGTGTGTTGAGCCAAGTGTTTAGAACCTAGTAACAAGAGCACCATGCAACTGGGGTTGTTACTAGCACCAGCTCTATAAGCAACACAATGCACAGGCATTAGGCACCACTTGATGTTAATTAAAGGTTTGTGGAGTCTGAAGCAGTCTCATCTTCAGCAAGTTTGGAGGTGGTTGAATCTAGGGTAGGAGGCCACGTGAACTTTCCAGATCCACCGCTCTTAATACACGAACCTGAAATAAACAATACTGCACACCCAAATGGTTTTTCTAGAATGGTCCATGCAAGAAAGCAGCTTTTATAACCTTAAGAAAACCACTGCGAGATACATACTAAGTCTCATTGAGTCACTGGCAACCTGATGGAGAGAATTCTCTGCTGGTAGTTTCAAACACTGCTGCTGGCTCACCTGTAACCAAATGTGTGACAATACAATAAGGCAAGAGTTTGTACACAGTAGGCCATCCTGTGGCTACAAAATTATCTACCTTTATAATGAACAGTAACAAAACTTCCTTACCTAACTCATACCAGAGTTCAACTTACAAGAAAGAGAAACATTAGGAAGTTTATGCTAACAAAATGAAACTCTACTTCATTAAAAGAAGAGGGAGACACATAAAATCCTATACTGTACAGTAATGTACAGTTTAAGGGAAGATACAGGCAGTCCTCACTATATGAAAGGGATACGTTCTGTGGAAGTGGTACATACAACTGTACTGCCACTATCTCATCAGCCCCCCTGGTAAACTGAACTGCATTCTCAAGTTACTATACATCACAAGCTACACAATAAGTACAGTATTCAACTCATTTTGCTTTTTACTATAATTATATAAGTCATCTTCAGTAAATCATTCCTCAAACTTTCTCACATTAATATTCACTGATCCACACACATTTTTCCACATTTCTACACTCCACATACAGGCTACAGGCTGTCTCATAAAAATGTATACACACTACGTGAGATTTCCATGGTGATTGCATGAATGATTTTATTACAACAGTAACCTTGTCCTCATTTGTGGGAGGACCTCAACCACCAACAAGTGAGGACAAAGTGCTGTTGTTATGTAAGCCACCACAATCCCCACAACAATTCATAATGTGTGTGTATACATTTTTCTGAGACAGCCTGTAATCCTCACATCCTCATTCTTTATCAACTATTAAATTTCCCTGACCTGAGGCAGAATATGATCCTAAAGATTCCACTTGTTCTGAGGTAAATGATGGGGACGGGCACAATATTAGGAGGCTTCTCGGGCTTGGCCGGCTTTCCTGGCTTCTCACTGCTACCACTGACAACATCTAAAGGTGGAGGAATGCGTTGACGTTATAATGTTATTACTGCGCTTCAACAGCTAAGGTCTTTAAGCGCATAACACGGTTAGTAATTACACTACAGTAGGCCATTACCAATCAAGAGATTAGCAAAGGAATGTGGAAGAAATGGAAAAGGCTAAAACCCATATGAATATTAACAGGGATGCCACTTTTAATATTTTATTTGGCTAATGACAAACTGTTTTATTCAGCTCAGAGGCGACCCCATATCATAACTAAAGGGTAATGTGGATTCTTCTTACAAGAAACTTTCAATTTATTTTTCTCGTTTGTTCTCCCGATACAGTACTAACTATTTTAGACTTTCCATGTGCCTTTATCATCTAACAGTTTATTACATGTTTTAACGAGTATTAAATGAAACAATAGAGCCAGAAAATCCATTCCTGGCCAAGGGAAAGAGGTGAGTGAACTGTGACATCAATAAAGTTTTGGTAAACAATATCGTGGTAAATGATGCCTTTGACAGTGGGCCTTGATATAATTAATGGTAAGAAACTATCCTGAAGGACAACGTTTTACCCCAAGTTGCCTTTTAACCCAATACAACCATGGTCAAAGATTCAGTCCCAATGTAATAAGTGCCACCTGTATGCTACCACAAGTCTGTGCTCCAGTGTGTGTTCAATACAAAAAAAAAACAGTAAAGCTTGGAAAAAAAACAATGTTTACCAAGAAAAGCCCCCAAACACCTGGGTGAGTTGGGTTTTAGTGGACAAACCCAGACTTTTGTCATTCATGGCCTCCTGGAAAAGAAAGACTCTGGCAGCGTTGGAAATGTTACCTCACACATCACTTGACTATAGCACCATGACCAATAAAATTAACTAAACAAAATAATCAAGTTGGGGAAATAACAGTCAAGACACTATATTAAATATATGTTAGATTAATATAAGCTGCAGCATTACATAGCTGATACCTCAGAGGCTATGAGAGATGCAAGAGCAATTTTGTGAGTAGGCCTAAGATAAAACAGTACAAACTATATAAGAAGTAATACATGTTAGGAATACAGAACCCAAACAGCAGCAGCAGGAGCGGACACATCTGATAGTGACATATTAAGAGCAGAAAATAAAAATTAAGAGTTGGAATAAGACTGGAAGATGAGACAGATATAACATCTCACCTTGAGCACCTGCACTACCACCACCCACTTGGACAATGGCCACCTGCTGCTTGTCTACTGAGTACACGCGGAGCCGTCTCTAGCACTGGCACTCCATTATCCTCACCACTGCTGCCTCCACCACTGTCTCCATCACTCCTTAGAGCCGAACCCACCCTACCTTCTGAGTCCACGTCCGTCACATTGGTATCTGTGTGCCAGAGGATTTTATGACATCCACGGCGCTAATGTACACATATCATACAGTACTCTTAATGTTGTCCCTGGTGATATAAGGTTATGTAAAAATAGTCACTAATCTTACCTGTTTTAGCATAAACATCACAGTCAGATATATACAGAGGCTCCAAGTTACAGACAACAGGTTCACACAGCAGGGCAGTAAACACCGAGTACATAATTGTAATCCCTAATAATAATAATAAACAAATTCATATAAATGGTTTCAAAGTTAAGCTTAATGATTTATTAACACTAAACTTCTATATAAACGATGTGGTTCAAAGTTAAACGATTTTGTGTGCAAAAGGCGAGACTAACTTTAACAAATTTCAAATTGCATATGCCAAAAAAGAACAGAAATTGCAATGATAAACAATAAAATTGATACATGGCATATTATAAAATACAATGGCACATATTTCATGAATAAAAAATAGCTCCTTCCACACTCTGGGTTATGTGACACACTTGAGCCAGGCAGTCACCCAGCTGACTCAGAGATGTGTGTGTATGCTATGACGTCACGCCGGGAGGGAATGAGGTGGGCTGGCAATGCAGTTACAGCCCATTGCCTCCACAGCTACACACCCATGCTAATTTTTCTTTTTATAGTTTTATATTAGTATATTTTCTTTATTTCTACAGTATGTAGTTTCATTATATATAACAAAGGCAATATGCCATCTCACAGGTCACCTCATCCCCAGTTCTTCCCCCTTCCCAATGAGTCAAGCTATCGCTAAACTTTAATTTTGACCGAACATTAAGTGAGAAAGGGTGTTAAAATTTTTCTCATTAAAATGTGATCCCATTATATTCACAATAAATATGCAGTTCAACTCATGAATGTTCACTGGCATTTGCATACATGGTACAGGTACTAGTAGTTAAGTTATCCATCAGTCCTTCTATGAGCAAGCCATTTTCATGGGTCAAGATAATTAAAAATAATTACGTACATTATTTACAAGCATAATTGTTACAGGTAGAGATGAATTTTAATCATTTTAGTGTGAAATTAACATGGTTCTGAGTTCAGAACTCGAGGAACCTCTGCATAAAGAAAAAAAAACATTAAATTATACTACAATAAATCTTGTCATAAGAAGGTTTTTCATTAGAGGGTACTTGTATTAAAATACATAGGATTCCCCTTCAATACTAAAACTGTTGCATGTGTGTGCATACAGTATGCTAACTCTACTTTAGATAATGTTGATTCATGTTTTAATTACCTGATGGTACGGGCTGTGTATGACCAGGAACAGAGGAAGTGGCAGCAGAAGGCCGCTGTGCTACCACTGCTGGACGCTCAGGGATTTGTGGTTTTGACTGGTCTGTGAGAACTATTGAGCGATTCATCAGGCTTGGCTTCTCTGGCAGGGCTGGTTTGTCTGGTCTTTGCTGAAACATAAAAAAATACTTTATGACACTAATACAAGTAATAAGGTAATTATCACAATCTAAATTGTACCTCCACTGATGTTTTAAAACAGATACGAGATCCTCCAAAGGAAAGGATATTGGTGACATTAGCACACAGAGGCATGTCACACCAGGGATAAATGGATGATGCAATACAATACTGGTAAGGTTTCTTGCTGCAGAACACTAGCCAATGGTGGACCTGAGGTGAGAGTCAATTATTACTGGTGGTGTTAGATAGACCTCAGGGGTGTGGGCAAAACAAGGACAAAAAGCTTAGGAATGAGCCAGCATCTCAAAATAGGACTAGGAATGTGCAGATATTAGTGTACATGAAGGTGGAAAATATCCAACATTTACAAGAAGTTGAAAAGGTTGCAAGGAGAAATTTTGGAATTGTTAATTAAGATGGAGAAGTTTGATTAAGTGGAGCAGAATGTGTCCTATGTATTCAGGAGGGTAAAAGCATGAGTAATGCAGTATTCTCCCACTAACTCCAACTGTTAGAAAGAGTCTGGTTTAATTTGAATTAACAGGTTTGGGGAAGTGATCCCTGACAGATATATCTTAAGTCCTCTTCAGTAAACCCTTCTTATTATATTACATTGCATTCACTTTACTATCAGGTCGAATGGAGCTGCAGACTGGTTAGCTTGGTAATCGCTGGGCAGTAGCATAAGTAATGAACTGGAGAGGTATAAATGGACGTGATGTTTCAACGGCTGGGGCAAGACGTGGTGGTGCAACACTTGCCGTTGCATTGTCTCCATCACTGGTGACAGAGGTAGACGAGCTGTGGCGTGGCAAAGCGATTGGCTGCCCAGCAGACTGGTGCTGTAAGACATTTTCTAATGATTTGAAGAATGATCGGGAAGAATCCCCATCCTCCCTTTCTGCCGCCTTACCATCTATGAGAAAACCTATGGGAGCCGGTCCTTCCCCTGTATCTTTTTTCCGCAAAAGAACTTCACTATCATCACTATTTATATCTGTCTCCTTGGATGTATGCATCTGTTCAAACCCAAGAGGAGCCACTTTAGCATCTGTCCTATGATCTGAAAGTTGTGCTGTTGTTGACCTTTCTAGATGTTCAACTGTGGGAGGACTAGGTCTGGGTTTGGTCAGGGTTCCAGGAGGCTTGGGAGGCTCTGCAGTCGGTCTCCTGATGCTATTGCTATGGTGAAGTCTGGCAGCAGGTGCAGGCAGCCCCGAGGTGGGGTGTTACTCCGGCCCTGTTCGGTGAACCCGAGGCACTGTTTGTGGTCCCTCCTGAACTCTGTCCATCTTGACTGCCTGGTCCTATAGTCCCGTGTGAGCTTGTTGGTCTGACCTGCGGAGGTCTAGGTGCCTGTTTTTTTTTGTTTTTGTGGTTGCTTGGGGCTTTCACAAGAGTCTGCTACATGGGGAGCAACTGATGACGTACCTATAATATTATCTATACGGCCGGATAGATCTGAACTGGCATTTCGCCGATGGGTTTGGGGTCCTGGTCGACCATGCTGTGAAGGGGCAGGAAGTGAACCATTGGGCTCGGCATGGAGTCTTGAAGGAGAGGGAGGCACTCGTGGTATTACGCCAAAGTCTATATCCTCCTTAAAGAAGTAATCACTATATTCTACAATATGATCAACAATGGAACGATAATCTCAGGCTCATATTTCGACCTAGGGTGGACATGTCTGCCCTCCTCAGCATCTCTCTGCGCCCATATCAGGTTTGGTGCTATAACTATGGCAATGTTGCTAGGGGACATCTTATTACTACTAGAATTGGCTGCCAGTTTGGCTAGGAACTTGACAAGGTATCTGAGATTGGCCAAGTTGGCAGATGGAAGCTGGTTCACAACAAGCCAAAGTGCTGAGAGTGAGACGTAGTTGGTGGTCTGACTGTCGCACCGCCTCTAGCCACTGGTCATGAAGTACATGGGTCAACAGAGGCTCTGGCAACTCTGAGGTAACACTTGAGTGCTCCGGCAACAACGTGGACGTCATAATCCCGGTCGTGCTCATCAGCTTGAGCCAAAGCCTCAGTGGTTACTAAATTAGCATCAAAAGCTCCCTTGAGGCGGCGAACCTTGGATGTGCTGCCAGCCACACGAAAGAGGCCCTCCTCAAAAAGGCCAACTTCCACCAGGCGCCGTACACACACTTGCAATGGAACTGCTATTTCCTGAAGAACAAGACAAAGAAAGTATATATAGTACACATTAAAATAAACACATTACTTGTATGAATAGTAAGAATATATATATATATATATATATATATATATATATATATATATATATATATATATATATATATATATATATATATATATATATATATATATATATATATATATATATATATATATATATATATATATATATATATATATATATATATATATATATATATATATATATATATATATATATATATATATATATATATATACAGTGGGGTATGCATAATGAACGGATCCTACTTTAATATTCCTATAACTTAATCTGGTTTTACCTATAAAATTGAGAATGCTATAAATCTAACTAAACTCCTACAACTAACATTATTTAATATTTTTTTTTTCTAATTTATTGTTTTTTTATTACAATATTAATGATATTCTTTTATTTCAGGGGTTTAGATGCATATTTATGCACTTTTTACAATGTTTACAATTTTATATTATATTTTCAGTGTTAAGTGGTTGTATTTGGGGACCTGGAACGGATTAATCCTATAACGAACGAATGCTATAACGAACTGTTCTAGAACCAATTAGATTCGTTATAGCATACCCCACTGTATATATATATATATATATACACACAAGCCTGGCCCTTACCACTCATAAGTAAGGGCCATTTACAGTATATGAGACAAATTTCATAAAAAACAACCATTAAAAATGTACCCAAAATTATAACTTTAGGTTTATAGTAATTTGGACACAGTGGCAGCCAAACTCTTATTCAATCAATCTCTCTTCCTGTTTTTTGACTCCTGCCCTCTTGTGCCAACACATCTGCACCACTCTCTTGGTCAGCATTTTTAACCCTTTAAAGAGCAAAGTATCCTTGATATACTATGGCTTTTGAAACTTGTGGGATACACACACGTTAAACCTTCACCAAACACATGAGCCCGTCACCACACATTCAGAAAAATAAAACACTGAAGCAATATTTGACACACTTGTACAACCATGTACATGTTTAGATTCCTCACCTGCTGGACGATCTTAAGATGGTCACGGAGAGGAACACCGTAGACAGGGCTACTAGACGAGGCTTCCAACTGATGTCTCATGTCTGGCAACACACGGTCCAGCTTCAACAGGGTCTTCTGCATGTACTCCCGCTGAAGCTCCAAGTAACCGCACATATACTGTGTTATCTCACGTCCCGGCCAACACACTGAATATGTCACAAGCGTAAGTGTCCTGGAAAATAACGAACATGTAACCAAGAGCACTGGGTCAGTCAACTCTATGGCATCAAGATAAGGAGGACTCACATGATAGTAGGGATCAGTCAGCAGTCAAGCAACAGGGACACATACCCTTGCCTGGTCCAGCTTGGACTCGGCCTCCTCCAGCTCCTCCCGGTAAGTGTCCACTTTTGGATTGGGGCCAGAAGTGGCTTGTGAGTTGCGCCACCGTGTCTTGGCTGCATCCAAGTCCAAACCAACCTGTCATGTGCCCGAACATTTAACATTAAGAAGCATAACATACTTTTACACACACATAAGAAATTAAGTGACTAAATTTCTGGTTTATTTAACAGGTGACAAGTAGATCAGCACAGGCCACATCAACATGCTCATACAGATTACATCGCAGGACTGGTTTCTGTCTCCAGTAGTGTAACAGGACTATGGTAGTTCATACCTGCTTGAGTTGCTTCTTCTGCTTGGAGATTGAGGGGAACTCATCCTTAATTAGGTTTGAGAGAGGGCCCAACACCTGCTTGTCCAACATGTCCTCGCATCCACCACGTCCATGCCCATCGCTTGCTGCACCTCCACTACTCTTGCCACAACACTCCTTAACCAGCCAAATGAAGGTGAACATATTAATACAGGGTGTCTCAGAATAATGTAAGGTATATTATGTTTACACACTGCCTTACATGTTTTCATTGAGATTGCATGAATGGTTTTATTACAACAATGGGCAACGTTGCTGTTGTAATAAAAGCATTCGTGCAATTTCCACATAAATCTGTAAGGTTAGAATGTGTATATATTCTATTGAGACACCCTGTACAGTATTAATGAACAAAACCCAGATGCATCGGTCTGCGGTTCCCAACAAATAAAAGGCCCATTAGTGAGAAATTTTAGCACCAACCACCGAACTGTAAGACGTAATATTTCCACTCATCACTTAAATAATCATTCTTAAGAGGTCCAACACCGACCTCTGCTGAGTGTACTGAAAAATATAGTTAAGAGTTTAAACATACCTGAGCAGATCCTGGTGTTCAGGGTTCTCTACAGGAGGGAGACAGTTGAGTACTTCCCTCAACGCCTCAGCTGCCTGATACTCCGGCACTTTCCTCTGTAATGAGCAAACACCCCGTACTGTATTATCATCATCCTCATACAGTTACCCCCAACCTAACCTAACCCCCTAAAATAAATCTTACTCAAGGAAATAGATCATCAAATTCAAAGGGTTAAGGCAACATAAAAAGGAAAAACTGACCCGATAAGACTTCACATATCTCCACCCTGTACAGTACAAGGACTCTCCCTCCCCTCAGACTACCCATCACTAAGCTAATGATGCTACAGGTGGGTGACTCTACGGTACTGACCAGTTTCTTCTCGTCCGAGGTAGAGTGTGTATAGAGGCCTTTCTCTAGTGATCTGGTGTACGCCTCACACAACAGCCTCAGCTCCTCCACCTGCTCCTCCGCCGTCCTAAGCTCGCCCACCACATCTGTCCGGTCACTCCTGAAACATTATCTTCAATCAGTATAAAATATAACACCAGATGACAACTTGTTTGTATACCCACACTGCCTAGGTACACTGGAAATTGTATACAGTAGCTACCTGTGTGGTCTGTGTATACTGAATACCTGCACTGTCTACACCCTATACAGTATACATGCTAACCTGTATACTGTACCAGACTACCAGCAATGTCAATATATATTCTGAACTGTCTACTGAACTTGCATTGTCTATGTACATACTGAACCAATTGTAAATGTCTATGGTGATTTTACAGAATAAAAAATAATTATCTATCAATCATTTCTTCAATTTCAGAGTTTAACAAGTAGTACACCATAATTACTCCCACAAGAACCAGACTGACTAACATTAGGGGTCAGAGGTCTCGGATCTCGATTCACTTTACGTCTTTTACGATCTCCCATAAATTCTCTCCTTATCTTTTGCCAAACCAAGATCCCCTCAGTCATTACCTTCTGCAAATCAATTACAAATACCAGTAGCTAAAGTTATTCCTGAACTTCTGTTTTTCATTCACTGTTCACTCACAGCTAACAACCCCTCCCCCTCCCTCAGTCCATACCCTGGTTAGTTACTTGCTGCCAACATAGTAGAAGCCTTAATCTGATGTAAAAATGGAAGCCTTACCTACTATGTCTTACTCTACCTGTCATTCAAATACATAATATCTCTCTCTCCCTTAAAATTATTGTACCCTTAAAAATTCTTTCTGTCATCTATTCACCTCGACAAACTAATCCTGAATTACCCATGTACAGTAAATACATCCTCTTCACCCCATGTTATTTCCTCCTGTACATTAGTCTAACACAGCAATCAGAGAGTGAAGGTTCCTCCTGTGTTTTACCTACCTCGTGTACTCCTGGTATCACCGCACCAAACACTAATCTACATACAATACAGTATATCCTATTCAGCAACATCCTTTCCTGTTGACATGAATATTTCCGAATTGTGTTAAAAAACTTCTACATGTAGGTCAGGTGGCCATTAGGGTAAATAAAGTACGGTATTTCTTTTTTTAACTTGATAATTCTCCACTCACTTGCATCATGTTCCTTCCCACTATCCATTTATCTAGCTGGGATCTTTTTAAACCCTTTGAGGACGATGATTTAACCCCTGATGTACAATGTCTTCTTAACCCCTTGAAAATTATGTATTAACCCCTTGAGAACAATGACTTAACCCTTTGAGGATGATGTATTAACCCTTGGAGAATGACGACTTAACCCCTTTAGGAAAAATGACTTAACCCCAGGAGTACGATATAGTAACCCCTTATTACCACATCTTTTTTTACGATCACTGTAATAAGATTAAAACTGCCCAACGACCAGAAACACCAGAATGACACCAGGATCAAATCAGTGTTATCCCTCGGTACTTGCGTATGCGAACCCCAATAAACTCCACCCGTGGTATCGTTCTGCTTAACCACCTCCCCCCCTCCATGTTAAGCCTTTCTTATTTATTTCTCATTCCTCCTTATAACTTTCCTCATGTTCTATTGCCACGGTTTAGCTCTTTCTATTGCATTCCCCTTTCTCATCTCCCTCTCTTGCTACTACCTATTTCTATTATGGTATCTGTTTTTATTTTGTTTTTTATTTTGTTAATAGTTAATCATAAGTGACCCTACAGCTCTACACAAGTCACTCAAGTCATAAACAAGGAAGTGCCGCGACTGGGTTCCTTTCTTATGCGAGCCACTGCACATTAAAACAAAAACAAAAAGAACAAAAATAAGTACGGCATCTGGTGTACCCTGCACATGGTAAAGGAACTCTTTAATAGACACGTTTCTTGCCAAGGGAGTGAAGTAACCAACTATAATCTGTTCCTGTTGAAAAGGTAAAATAAGCACCAGCTCACGCTCTCCCATGTGGGGCTTGCTGATTGGGTCTGTGATAGCAAGTTTATACAACACAGACAGAACCACCAGCTAATTTATTGTACTGTACCTTACATTTGAGAGTAATGACAGAAAATAACAGCTGTATCATGCCGGATCATGTGTCTGTCTAGAGAAATAAAAAACTATAAAAATGTCACAATGTTGTTATCTAAATCCCTGACGCACAAACATGACTCACTCTTAACACCTGTGCATTACTATATTTTTTATCTACAACTTTTTCATTCAGTGTTCCCACATTAATCTGTGTGATAAACTATAACTAAAGGTGATGAATGAAGGATTTACAGGAAATACCAACAATCTGTGGTTTATGAGTAAGTTACTCCAGGAGACACTACTTTGGAGAGCTACTATGTCTAAATCATATCATTTTTCAAAGTCCCGAATTTTACTTTACAACTGTTAAAATATATGAATGAATATTGCACATCAAAGTCATATAATGTGACTCATATGACACCACTTTTGATGGCCCTCAAGATACTCCAGCCAGCCATGATATTTATGTGGACCTAAAGTCATTATAACCTTGACAGCTTTGTGGGTGGTGCTCCCTTGTTGCCTCGTAGGCGTGAGTAAGAACAGTGAATGATGTAAGGATGCCATCACCAGGATTTTCTTAAGGTATACAAGTGTTTTTCATACTATAGCGAGGTCAGGTTTTTCTCACACTGGGTAGGCGTCTGACTCACCATGTGGGGGCGTGACAAGACTTCTTATGTGCACTGTAAAGTATACTACAGTATTGTACAGTAATATGGCAACAATATTATGAAATTGGTAGATACTGTATGTTTAACTATAATATTACAGCAGGGAGTGGACATGAAAGCTACCCAGCTCCCCCAGTCCCTGATGCTTGCCCTTACATGAGTGTTACTTTAGCTATACATTCAAGTAGTCATTCATTTAATACATCACTTTACAGTATATAAGTATATAACACTCTAACCTCTACTTCACATACAACTTGGCAACACTGTAAGACAACAAGTGGATGAGTCTTTCCTCATTTATTTGACCTTCCAATATAAAGAGTTAATTATGATTATCCTCAACACAATTACTAAAGGAACTACTGTACACAAACAATGGAATTTTGATAACAGTGAAAAGTCCATCACGCCATTATGAAGAGGGTGAATTAATCCTGGCCTTGTTAACATACCTCTAATGTTAAACCAGGAACAAGACACAGTAAACCATGTTAAATAAATGTTAACGTCATGGTTACTGTATTAATCATTATCATTCTATGTTTATTTTATATCGAACAAGATGAAAAAGACAAATTATAATAAAAAAGTGAGGGAAAATAAAAATACTGTAAAATAAATAACACAAGTGGAGGGAGAGAGAGGAAGGGAAGAGGAGAGAGAGAGAGAGGAAGGGGAAGGGGAGGGAGAGAGGAAGAGGAGGAAGGAAGGGAGGGAGAGGCAGTGAAAGGGCAAAACTGCAACACAGACAACGATTGAGTAATTAGGTTTCATTACAAGATAACTACACGAGGAGCTTCTCACCCCAACTACTTCCAACACTCACCCCTCTCACTTATTCCACTCTATCCCCTCTCCCACTCACCCAATCTCTCTCCTACTACTTCCACTTTCTCTTCCCACTCTCCCACACCCCCCTCCTTCCCACTACTTCCCACCCTCCCCCCCCTTCCCATTGCTGCCCTCTTCCCTCCTCCCCCTTCCCATATCAATGTACGTTGGGGAGCATGAGGGTAGGGGAGGGGGGGGAGAATAGGGACAGGCATGTACTGGGTAGGGAATGAAAATGGAGGATTGATTGATTGATCTAGATATAGAGTAACGACCTCGTACGGTACATGAGGGGTAGTTACAGTGTGAGTCATATGAGGGTGTGGGAATAAATGTGAGAATGAAGACTGTATTGTATATAGGAGTTAGTGGGGGGTGGGAATACAGGGAATGTAATGAATAAATGAAGAATATGTAAGACTGAGTAAAAACATGGTGGAAGGAGGAGGAGGAGGAGATCCATTCGCAAATAAGCCTTAAAATTAATGCAATCTTGTACTCACTTCATTACATCATATACTCTACACAGATATTCCTCAGTTCACATAAGGGGGATCTGTTTCTCTGTCAATTGGGGGATGTGTTTATGACAGAACCCCCTGTCTATGTAAAACTTGATATTGCAGTGTAAAGGCATTAATTAATTTACAAAGGGGCTGTATTCCTGAAAGAACCTTAGCACCCTATTATATCAACAAGGGATTCTTGTATCAGATACTTTTCCACGTGAGACAGTCGATGCACAATGGCAGTAACGTAAGCAGTAAATCTCCACAAAACTGGGCCAACTGAGGGAAGGGAAGTAATGTACATTTTATCAATTTCTGGGCTTTCTGGTAAGCCTTTCCTGGAGCACCAAATAACAGTACAATACAACTATTTCCTGTACAGATATTTAAGGTATGTATATAATTATGGGGCCACTTTATAAACATATACAGTGCTGTACCGTTGCATGCATGTCCCATTGAACACACACACACACACACACACACACACACACACACACACACACACACACCACCGTCTCCTGCTTCCACCCGAAATCCCTCGTCTGAGAATTGCCGTCCAACAATACAACCGCATCCAGCCCATACGACCACTGATCGCTATAAGAACAGCGCAAATGTAACTTTTGTACTGTAACTATGCTGAAATTCTTTGTTAAATGACACACACACAAAAATTACATAACATAAAATAGTCAAATGAAATAACTTATTTACAACGCCAACAGCTGTGGTATAAGAAGTGAGAGTACCGTCAGCAGCCCTCAGAGAGAAGGATGTCTTGTTAGATAAAGTCTCTTGATAAACATTTTCAGTTTATCATCAATGCTTGTATGCTTATGTACTGTACACTTGTTTTTAGCCTTGTACAATCATCAACACCACTTGTATCCACCACGGTGATGAAACAGGATGTCAATCACCCACATCTAAGTTGCATCCTCATGTCGGGGGGAGGGGGAGGTAGCCATGGCCCCCTTTTCTGAATGTTTTTGGAGTCTGTCTTTAGCAGTCCTCCAACATTCAGTATTAATTTTTTTTTAAATATTCAATTCTATTATTAATTCTCCAAATAAATGTTAATGGTATATTTTTAATTCTTCATTCCCTACCAAAAAAAGGTCTCCCTAAATTTAATAAGAAAAATCTAGCAACCATAAAAACTGGCACTATTGTTTACTGCGGCATCCATACCGTTCACCAGTGTCACCCATACCATCTACCAGTGTCACCCATACCATCTACCAGTGTCACCCATACCATCTACCAGTGTCACCCATACCATCTACCAGTGTCACCCATACCATCTACCAGTGTCACCCATACCATCTACCAGTGTCACCCATGCCAACACTTCACCCTCAGTCTCCCAGAAGCTTTGGTAATGTACTGCACACTGTTACATATCTACAAACGTCATAGAAACAATAAGGAATAATTCTTTTGTTCTAAGTTGATGCAAATCTCTGAGACGAGTCTTAATGAACAGTATGATAATAAGACTCAAGATACTAACAAAAACAACATGTAGTATTCAATCCTCCACACTATCATAGACTCCACGATAACACCAACTATAAGGTACTCAATCCTCCACAGTAGCACCAACTTCATAACATAACACAGTGACCAGGAAATCCTATGCCAACACATCCTCTGTCTTATCAACCTCTAAATACTGTTTGTGTATACGACGTAGTGTAGTGCATATAAAGGCATGACTCACTCTATTCCTGCCATTACAGTATAGTAGTAAACATTTAACCTGTAGTACATTATATATCTATCATCATTCTGCCCATTGTTCATCATCATTATTCTACACACTGTCATCATCATTCTGCCCACTGTCATCTTAATCATCATTCTACCCACTGTTTGTCATCATTATTCTACCCAACATTCATCATCTCCCTCATTGTAACACATCTAATTAATCTTTCCATTAGTACCAATACTGTATCAGATGAGCCTAAGTTTGACAGCATTAACACCTAACTATAAGAGAGGCGACGGGTCTGGTATAGGCAGAGGCAGTTACAGTCTAGTTATTATTCTGTGTACTGTATTTTGAATTCTAGTAAGAGCAGTGTAGTGTATGTTCAGAAGGGGAGATATTACAGTGATTATAATATTTACTACAGTTACCGCCAGTCAGATTTTAGCGGCTCTCAAACATCTCAGTGGCCAAAATCAGGACCCAAATAATTCATGGATATTATACATAAATGGTGATGTTAGATGTATAAAGAAGTCTTCAACACAGTGAATTATGACTGTGTTGAAAGCTCTTGGTTTTGGGTGTGTTGACTGGTTTAAGTCTTAACAACAGGAATCAAACCGTCACTGCAAATAATAGCCCATGGAGTCCCACAAAGGAGTGTCCCAGGACCATTGATCTGCCTTTACTATGTATGGTAAGCAATATGCCCATTAGTGTTAATTGTAAACTGTTGCTGTATGCTGATGACAATGCTCTTTTAGTGTCAGGTGAAGATCCAAATGATATAGCTAAAGAGTTATCATCTGAACTGGAGTCATGCAAACAATTACTTTTACTTTTATCCTCTTCACCACTGATCAGCCGCCTGGGCGATCGGCTTCTGTTACGCACTGTTGCCAAGTACTGGGCATGCACCGGCTCCTGAATATATCTGAACCTGCTCCAGTGTTGGTCAAGTCTGGTCTTGAAAGAGCTCACACTCGCTGCCGTCACAACACTTTCTGGCAGATTGTTCCAAGAGTTCACAACTCTCACTCCGAAAAAGTTTGCCCTCACAGTTTTCTGTATAACAAATTATTCCTACATCTTGGAAAGAGTGAAACAATATTATTTGGATCAAAAAGAAAACTCAAAAGAAATAATTCATTTGTGGAATGAACCATTCGGCAGCCTCAGTAAAAGACTAACCTTGACTTGTTTGTCTGGAATTAATCTATAATATACTGTTTAAGTAATGTCAAAATAAAACTTCTCTAGAACTGCTCAATACCCCCTCAGCTGATGTCCACAGAACCCTATGCTTGGCGCTCATACGCCACGTGACTATTCTGCTCGCCGTAGTTCTCTGCCTTAACACAGAAGCTAAAATCCAAGCTCCATATTATTCAGAACAAGGCGGTGAGGCTCATTTTTGACATGGAAGCAAGAGATCCCATTAATGTGAAGTCCTAGAATCACTGGACATATAGGAATGATCTACATCCAGAAACAACCTAAATAGAGTAAATAAATGTAAATAAATAATGCAAGTTTACAGTAAACAGAGTCTGTGAAGGTATACACAAAATAAAACAGACAATGCAAGTAAACAATGGTAAACTATATGGTAATTCAATTCATAAACCCTCCAGATGATTATTACCAATGTGTTCCTCACTAAATAACTCCAGGATAAGAGCTAAGATAGAATCACCTAGTTAGCTGTACTGTACTGCTGTGAATTGCACCATATTGTAGCTCAGTAATTAACAAAACTAGCAATAATACGATATTTATTTAAGAACGTGTCAGCTGGCAGCCTGTCACATTAAAAACAACAAAAACAACCATTCAACAATAAGACAAAATACGTAATATAAAAGTAAGGAAGGTAACTGAGACAAAAAAATAAACAATAAAAGGAGAAATAGAGAAAAATGATAAAACATTTCTAACACAACCTGGGGCAAAACATGACGAGAGGAGGAGAGAGACAATGACGTGAAATACAGGAGATAAGACACTGGGGAGAAGAGTACATGTATAGAGTGAGGATAAGAAGATAGAAGGAGAGACATAGGGGTAATAAAAGACAAGCAACAGAAGGCCAGATAGAGAGAGAGAAATGGGCTGGGTTGGGTCGAGACTGACTCACCGCAGGAACAGATGGTCCGCCTGCTGCTTCACACGCTTTAACTGTCTCCCAAAATTCATGGTGTCTCACTGGTGCCGTTTACATCACTTCACCACACATTTGAAGGGGAATTAAGGCCCTAGGAGGCAAAAATTATTTTAGACAATACACCACAGGAACAACCTCGGCCATCACCCGAGGACAACTGTCGTGTTTACTTCGGAGAAACTATCGTCTTGCTGTCATAATTAATTCTCTATTATCTCATCTTCTATTAATCATTATATATCACCTAGATACAAAAACTAGTTTATCCGAAAGGGAGGGAATTTATAAAGGCGTATTTAATGCCATTTTAATAGACAGGAGAAATAAATGTCAAGAGCTATACGGAGTTCTCATTGGTGAAAGGCTGACGAGTTGAGCCAATCAGATCCTTTGTTTAGGAATGTCCGGGAAGGGAGTGCCCGCAGTAATTATAGCGCGTAATTCAAATATTAATTACCACCCTTACAGAATTTTACAATATGTTTTTTCCGCTCTAAATCTATCCGTGTATTATTTTAGTTTCTTGTATAGTTAAATGAGATAGGTAAAGTGAGTTTATGTACAGCCCAGAGACCAGATTATCAAAGGGTAGTAAAGTTATCGTTTCTAATAAATTAAGATGCAAGAATTTATTTAACGAGTTCATTTAATCCATAAAATATATATATAGCGTCAAAAAACGATATGCAAACTAAACTGAGACTCAACCTTACCTACATAGGCTCACTTATCATCAATTAAGAGAATAATACCAACACTGGTAATATATTTTTAGCAAAGTATTAGCTACATTAATATTGTCTGTTGCTATATTTGTTTGTATTATTTTTGGGGTGGTATATTTGAGTTTTTATTTCATTCAACCAGTTAGATGCATTCTTTTAAGTTCAGTCATCAGAAATTTTCACTGTATGAACCTTTGACACTGACAGATGTTACGAGGCAGCTATTGGGATATTTTTTATTATTTTTATTTCCTAGGATATGTAACGGCATTTTTTTTTCATATATCTTGCCACACGATCTGTATACCTGTGGTGTCTATATACATACTGGACTATATTTTGTGCTGCGTATGTAAATAATTATATGCAAAAGTACCCGTATATACCTGTGTTGTCTATACGTGGTAACCCGCATATTTGCGTTGCCTATATACCTGCAGCATCCACATACAGTACATGCTAAACCAATTGTAAACTTGTGGGATAATTTTACTGAATGAATATATATCTAAATGAGTCCTGGGGTTCGGTAGAGATTCAGAGTTCAGACCTTGTAAATATTGATCACCCCTCACACACACACACATTCCTGAGTTAGTATTAGTCGCGTGGCCTTACGTCACACATATACCTCACCAGAACTGTTTGTAGTATTATTTTGGTGACTTGAGGAGTAAACACGATAAGTGAAGGATTACTATAGGTTGATCTACCAACGCCACCATGACAGTCGCCAGGAGGTTGGTTATTGAAGTGATTTTTTTGGCATAGTTGATTGCGCTTCTCTCTAATGTTACACTTTTACCTCTATCTTGGTAGATATTTAATATATATATATATATATATATATATATATATATTGTCTATATCATGTTATACATCTTGGCTATATTATGTTGTATATCCCGAACTCTTGTTGACACATTGGTATATCCTCGATCCTAACAGGTGTGGACTAATAAACACGCTGACAAGACACACATACATTAGCACACTTAACCACTGTCGTGGCATGATATAAATATCGTATAAACTGTATATCATGATATAGGTGAGATGTATACCATGACATAAATAAGATGTAGTCAGCTTTATCCTTGCCACACTTTCATTCAGTATTTCTCTCTTTACTCTCGCCAATCTGAAATCATTAAATGTTTTTTTACTCGACCTCCTTTTACCCCCATTTCACATCTACAGTACACACATACAGAGTTGTACAACCAAGTTAACACACAAGAAACATTTTGTTTACCTTTTGACTCTTGGGATCCGGAGTTGATTGAAGACTAACATTAATGATAAGAGCTGTAGAGGAAGGGGAGACAAAATTATGCTCTGCCTGTGTCTATTGTCTCTTTAGATTCCTGCAGCTGACCCCAGGTGTATTGGTTGTATTGCAGTGCAGGGTTGAACAGCAGGGCGGGGAGTAGTAGCAGGGCAGGGAGCAGCAGAGCGGGGAGCAGTAGCAGAGCAGGGAGCAGCAGCAGAGCAGGGAGCAGCAGCAGAGCAGGGAACAGCAGTAATACAAACGGCATTAGTGTGTGGGATTTAGCAGTAACAGAGGCCAAGCGAAAGCGTGTGGAAGCGCCTAGCCTGGAGGTGGAGAAGGCACCCAAAGAGTCCACACTGCTTCTCGTTGGCACACGATCAGCGGTTGGTGTACAGAACTGTATTGACAATATTCTCATGTTGACACTGTTAACATTACCGTACTTTTAAAAATGTTTGTCTGCATAATTTAGCTTCTGATTGTTTTTTTTTTTATAGCTTGGGTACTTTATTTGTTAGGGTTGTTTTTATTGTTGTGTTACAGGGGAAGACGACCCTGATACAGAAGTTCCTTGATCGTGAGGAGGCGCCCAGACAAACACTCGCCCTTGAGTACACCTACGGCAGGAAGACTGGCAAGACTCTGGTGAGTGACTTCTACTTGCTCTTGTTACAATTAATTACTCTTCAGATCATCGGTAAACATTTGAGCATTGTTGTAGAATTAGAACAAAACCATATGCTGCTGATTATATTATTTGCCCTTTTTTCTCATAGTAAGAAAACCGTATTTCACACCAACTTAATCTAGCCTACCTTAGCATGGTGGAAATTTCAGCTAGTGTACTTTTGTCCAATGAAGTACTGTAGCATAAAAATCATTTGGTCCTTTGGATGTGTATGTTGTTTCTGGTGTCAGTCCTTTGCCATAACAAGCACACCTATCAACATGACTTTTATTGGTAGGTGAAGGACGTGTGTCACCTGTGGGAGCTAGGGAGGGCTCTCTTTACCCCCCTGTTGTCCACGCCCCTCACCCCCCGGGTCATGTCACGCCTCACCCTCCTCCTAATGCTCGACCTCTCCCGACCTGACACTATTTGGTCTGACCTGGAGACTCTCCTGTCCACTCTAAAGGTGAGTATTGTATTACATAATGTGTAGTCCTGGAAACCGATAAAGTAGATGGATAGATATTCAATAAAATCGCCATACACGTTTACATTGAATCAGCAGATATAATAATGGTTGCCCCTCATGTTGGAATTTGGCCAGTGCAGGAGCCACCTAGGCATGAGTTTGTTTACAGGTACAGTACTATAGTCACCAAGGACAGGACTGCTTAAGTGAGGTGATCACATTAAGTATGGAAAAGAAGAGGACCTATAACATATATTGTATTTTGCCTCAGGAGGAAGTGAACAAAGTGGCAAAGTCAGAACCAGGCCTCAAGGAGTCCCTGGAGGCTGCTGCCAGGAAGAGGCTTGACCCACATCACCAGGTGAGAACATCTACCTCCACACTCTTCTGGTGTGCCCTTCTACCTCCATCATTTGTATCACATACATGAATGTACCCATTTCTATGGATATACCTAAGCAATATCTTTTTTAAGGGGGAAGGGAGGCGATGGGTAGGTTTCTCTCCATTATTCCTGTTGAGTTTGTTTCCATAGTTCAGAAGGAAACTGGAGTACTGTACTGTATGCTCAGAGTACATCTTTATTAATTGGTAGTGTCACATTGGGAAACATTCTTCTTACATCCAATGTGAGATCAAACTTCAGACACTGTAGTGAGACAAATGTGTTACAGCTGTATTTTGCTGTACAGTAGTGGGATCACCTGAAGGCTTATGGACTCACTTTACTGTACAGTAGTAATTTAAAATACAAATACATACTGTAAGTACAGCAGCTGTTTTCCTCCATAACTGACATTTACAGTTTAAGCATAACAGTTCAGTATTTTGAGCATAAGATTATTGTACAATCCAGTAATAGTGACAAAACTTCTATATAACATCAACGTCAGTAAGGTTAAGTTTGGCGATAACTTTCTAATAAGAGGCAACATTCTACATAACATCTACATTAATATTTACATTTAAGAAAGTAATAATGTGGAGTATGTTGGGTGTGTGGCAGGATGGGCAGGAAGTGGCACCGTTCTTGGTTCCTCTGTTGATAATTGGTGGGAAGTACGATGTCTTCAAGGACAGGAGCCTGAGGGCAAGAAGTTGATTTGTCGTACTCTTAGGTGAGTATTATTGTCCCATTGCTAGTGTGTCATGTTACACTTCTCAGGAGGGAGCAGCATATAGTCCCTAACAGTTTACATAGGTAATCACATCTGAACATGTTGAGAAGTTTTTACTTTGTTTTAGCCATTTATTGCAACAGCATTATTTTTAGGTGTAGCCAAACTGTTGACAATGAAAGCAATGCATAGGATTCACAAGGAATATTCAGCAAGGTATTAACTCATTGGAAGGGAATATCAAAAGAAAAATCCTAAACACATTTGAATCTTACCATAAATTCCTGTGGTAATATATAGATGTTGCTTAGGATATTGTTGAGTGATATGAGTTATGTAGAATGATGCAGTATACAGTAGTGTACAAAAGTGAAATGTTCTCTTATAATTAAAGATGAGTACCTACCACACTTTACACAGTACATTTATGTGTTTTGTATACTAGGTACATGGCCCACACATATGGCGCATCATTACAGTTTTTCTCAGCCAAGGACACTGGTCTAATCAAGAAGGCCAAGGAGCTTCTCAGTCACTACGCCTTTGGCACAACTGAGAGGTGAGTTTTGAAAATGCTAATCATCATCTAACCCTTTTCCTTGTGTGAATATATTATCTTTAGAGTCAATGTGTTGAGATTATACAAGGTTTTTGCTCACTGGTAGTCCTACAGTTTCACCAATACAGGGGGTATAACTATTATTTATGAGATAGTAAACAATTAAGAAGGAAAAGGAGAGACTTGACAATATCTGTATATATATATATATATATATATATATATAGTATAGTAACATCACATACACACCAATATACTGTATCGTAAATAGTGGAGGTGTTAACAATAATCCAGGGTCACCACTGAGTGAATCGCCCCAAATAAATAGAATACATGACTCATAATTTTTTCATAATTGTTGCCGGGAAGTAAATAAGCTAGATCTTATAATTGTGTGACAGCCGTAGTCTGGCACAGGACTACAACCAGCCGCTCATCATCCCAGCTGGCAGTGACAGTCTGGCCACCATCAACATGTCTGAGGATCTCACCCTTGATGCCTGGAGACACATCTTCAATACCAGGTTCCCCCAGGTCAGTGTCCACTCATAAACAGTCACTTAACTCTAACTGTACATGGTAATCATCCTCCCTACTACTGTATGTGTATTATCACCTGGACCTTCTTACATGTCTGCCAACACAGCAACACACTCCACCCTTTTTCAGGACTTACATCACTCTTTTCCATAGTGGTATAGCTATTATCTCACTGACCTCACCATGCAAAGTATTAAATCATGAAATATCTAACCATTACTCTCTTGTCATCTGTTTACTTTTAGTGCCACAATCCCAGTCTCTGCCACAGATACTAGTTAATAATCTGGAACAACAGATTATATCAGTGTGACCTTCCTTCATACTCAGCACTGTACAATCATTCACTATTACATCCTAGACACTTAATAATAATCACCAAAATGTACAGGACAGTGAGGAGCGGTCATCAGTGTTACCAGAGGATCCAGGCAGAGACCCTACATATGCTGAACCTGATGTGGACAATCTCAGGACCCAGAAAGATGAGGTCTGGATCATTATGTTGCTTTCCATATTTGCTGGCACTTTTATTGATATTTTGTACAGAAACTTATCATGACATACTTTACAGTGTACATTGTCTATGGTTGTTAATATTGTATCTGTGAAATTATCTAAAGTTTATGTAAAATGGTCATATGAATAAATAGGTAAATATAGTGTAATTTTATAATGGCAGGAGCTGGAGAGGATTCAGCGTGAGGTTGAGCCCAGACACTGCACGCTGGGCAGAACTTGACCTATCATAGCCGGTTGATGTCGGCTTCACATTGTTATGTTAAGCTCATCTTCTCACGTATAGTTTAATTCATAGAACATTAAGTAGAACAAACTTGTCACTACAGGTATACTTATCCCCTGTCACATTACAGCAAAGTCCAAAGGGACATAACTAAAAATAATAATACTGGAAATGGCATATAAACTTGTCTGATGTATTGGGAAATACAGTAGTCTCCTCCAATGTGGATTTGATTATACATGGTTAAAAAAAAATGTGACTAATAATTTAATGAATGCTGACACTGTACAAAAAAAATGCATGTACAGGTAACTCCTACAAACAGGTGATCACCACTGAAGATCCACAGCCTTCCATACAGCATTAGTGTTATTTAATTTCAAAACAGTATCTACCTTCCTGTACTGCTTGTTTAGTTCATATTTATATACACATGCAGTATATTAGAGGATGGATGGAGAGTGAGTACAGGTATTAAAAGATACTATAACACAATGGAAAAAACAGCTGACAGTCAACAGGCTGCTGCAAGAGTTAAACTGTACAGGAGCCAAAGGCATTTAGTAATAGATGGATGATTTTAGAATTTTTTTATTATCTAATTTTTGAAGTAGATTTTTTATCCAAAACTAGAACTGCCTCTTCCATGGCACACTTCAAAACATGATCTTTGATGACAAAATTATATTGCACAAAATGTATATACAAGCATAATGAATTTAAATACAGAAGGTCCTCGTTATAAGATTTTTACTATCCGCAGTTAAGTGGCAAATTTTTTGTGACCATCCATGTATTGAGTCCCTGCATTTAAGTGGATTCCTCTCAAAAACTCGATTTAAAATCCTGATAAAATCTACAATTTTAAGCTGAATCATTTGAAATTTCACCCTCTTTCTGGCATCAAGCATGCACACACGTGTCCCTCGCCAGTCTCCCGCTTTGTTTCGTCCAGACCGGTGTTGTGTTGTGTTTACTCCTGCCTTTGTTGTGTCTTTTTGTGTATGTTGTGGTGAATTATTTTATCATTTTGTAGCCATGAGTTCCCAACCCACACAGGGTGGAGCAGCACTCAAAAGAAAGCACACTCGCTATAGTACAGATGTAAAATTAGAAGTGATTAGGCAAAAGAAAAGTGGAAGTGGACAATCCATTTAGTCCTGTTTATTTTTCATCCTCTTACTAATCCTCCATCCCCCAACACCCACCTCCATCAATCCAAACACCTCTACCTTTGAAGCTAAGTAAATACAAATATTTTATTATATTTTTTAGAACATAAAGCATTTTGTCTTAATGAACCACCCGAGTGAGTGTGCACCACCAGGTTGCTGGCACAACCTACGTTGCCTCAACACACCGACCCCAATGAACTTTAAGGATGTTAAATAACTTAGTTTTTTTTTTAAAGTGTCGTGTAAAATGTCATGGTTCCAATTTGACCTACAGCATTTCCATTATTTCTTATGGGATTAATTCACCGCTTTAAGTGGATTCATTATCACAGGTATTTTTCCGGTCCCAATTAACCGCGGAAAATGAGGACCCCCTGTAGTAATGTAGTAATGCATGAGCTATCAACTGGGTAAGGTCACCTACACACACAGTTCTACATGTTTACAATTTGTATTCCAAATGGTTGACAGAACACAAATTGTATCCCCTTTGAATATAAAGAAAGTACTGTATTAGTTAGAATACATTTTTAACTCTGATAAGGTACTGGTAGATTAAAATGGCCTTTATATAAAATTCTTTCACAATATTGTATGGGTAGTGATGTACTGTACTGCATTTAACAAAAAACCTTAAAATTTAAGTCTATGGCAATATTCAAAGGCAGTTGAATCCAAGAAGTCTTGAGGCCCAAAGAACTTTTGCCTAATGTAAAATATTGACAGCAAAGAAATATAAATGCATGGTAGGTGTGTTTGGTGCGTGAGTGCATATATGTGCGTTAAAGTTCTGAATATCAGTAATCAGATGCACATAAACAAATTACTTATTTGCCCACAAATGGCGAAAGAAAGCGTTCAAGTCGCTAATAAATCACTACCTTGTATACTCACTCTGGAACACAACACCTTTTATAGGTCAACAAATGATAATAATAATAAAAGAAAACTTACATTATCATAAGCAGTATCCATTAGTGTTTGAGATTACACCTACTACAGTCTCCAACTTAAGCATGACTAATCCCATAATTCTTGCTGTGTATGTAAATGTTAAGTGGATTAGAGAGCCTTACTCAACAAACTAATATAAAAGTGTTATGCAAACTTGCTCCTGTGTACAGTAATTCAGCATGTTTGGTTTATAAGCATCAAATATTGTATGTATTTACATTTTCCAGGCAGACGTACTGTAGTAGATTCCTCCGACACCTTATTCTGCTTCTTCAACTGAGTTTAGCTGCTGCATTAACTGAAATGAAAATAAAATTATTAGGAAATAAATACAGAATCACTGGAGAAAATAAATAACAAATAGACTGAATATATAAAGATAAAGAAAAACAAATAAACTTAAATATCAGTCTATTATAATGAAGGTGACAGGGACTGATGAGAGAGCACACCAAACAACAGTACTGTATATCATTCCTTTTGAGAACTGGAAAAAGGTATTTGTTACTGTGATGCTGACTACTGCACTAACCCAAAGGCAACTAGAAAAGGAGATGGTGCTACAACAACTAGAAGGATTATACACATACTGTATACCCAATGGAGAAATGACCTCCAGTATTAATGTTGGCAGGTTTTCTTACAAGTTATACCACAACCTTAGGTAAACAAATTTCAGAGCCCCAATAGTATCTGTACAAATTGTCATATCTTATTAGTATTCTTTAAAGATGACTTGGGTGAAATTTTTTCCTTACCTATTGAACCAAGTACAGTACAGGCATACTGAGAGAGTATGCTGGTTTTAACAGGGACCCTTGCCATTATCTTATATATAATGAGGAACACTGTCATAAAAGACACAAATGTTAAAAAGTAGGAGTTACTTTTTACTTAGTACAACCATATAAAACACCGTACAATACAGTAATCCTAAACCTGTGGTTCATATACCTGACTATTTGAAATAAATTTACTCAGTCTTTCCTATACAGTACTGTCCTGCAAATATCAAACTAATAAACATCCATAAAAGACTATACTCACAGAGGCAATCCTCTCTAATCTTTTTGGGGTGTATTGTTCCAACTTATTCATCATGTCCTTGACTTTGTTAAGGGGTGGAGAACTCTTGGCATGTAGTTGTGCAGTTAAATATGGATGTTCCAGCAGTTCCTGAATGCTGGGACGCTCCCTGGGATTAAACTTGAGACACCATTGCAATACATCCTTCAGGTGATCATCTCCAATATCTGGGAAGCTGATTTTGGTGTTGGAGTTTGAGATGGCTGACAGTTTCTGCCAGGGATTGCAGATGTGCTGGAATGGGGTTTTTCCATAAACCAGGTTGTGAGATGCATCCCAGTGCCCATATGTCAGACTTTACACCAATCTGCAATATTTCACAACAAAACAAGTGTCATTTAATTTTGTAAAACATATTTAGATGACCTAAAGCTTACTCCCCACTTTATTTTACCTGATGATTAAACACCCAAGTTCTACCTGACAAGTTAGGTTACAATAGGCTAGGCTAGTGTTAGGGTGGTTAATTTAAAGTTGAAATAAGCAAGGGGGTTAACCTTCACGTGACCTCCAAAAGAAAAATATATTAAAACTTGTAGCAGTTATATGAGCACTCCATTGGGCAGCAAAGATCCCTACTGCCCAGGAACCCACGACACACAGCGACACAAATAACCAATAACAAGAGAATGGCCATTACAGTGGTGGCTTATCAGAGCAGCCATTAATTATGGGACCTGATTGGTTATCCATAAGTGCCTCAGGACTCATGTAGTTGTAAGTCCCTGACTGCAATTAAAAAGTAAAGAGGATATACCAAACAGCACAATACAATGTCACCTCCTACCCCACCGTAATAACCATCTGATGGTTTGGTTCATACTGCCTTACTGTTTACCATTTTTATATACCTACATTGTCTCAGTACTGTATTGTACATTGGGAATTTTTATACCTGTATTGGCCACACACATGCTGAACTGTATAACTGCATTATCTATTTATATATACCAAGTCAAATATAAACTTACAATACGATATGACTGAATCTATCCATCAATCTATACAGGAAAATAAATAACAGTCATGAACCTTATACTCTGACTTCATTAATGGCCCATCAAAAAATACATCTGCCTTTTGTTCTTTATTTTCCCCAACCTAGTTTCTAAGCCTTCTGGTGATGAGTTAGTGGTACATGGCTGACTATCTTTTCAAAATTGGAAAAACATCAACCCCCCCTCCCCCAAATTTAATAACCACCAAATCAACTACATAGAACAGGTTTATAAAGGTCAAGTCACCTCACCTGAACGTCCTTAATAACACTGGTCATATCTTGCTGGATGGACGACGCTATGCCAAAGTCGATTAACTTCACCGTGTCATTGACCAGGAGGAAGTTGGCGGGTTTCAGATCGAGGTGAATGACCCCTGGGAAAAAATATATATATATAAATAAATAAAAAGTGTCATAATTTGTGAATGAGTCAAGAGAATATTGTAAGAAATCCTTCAGCAGACACAATAGCTAATAAATGTACTGTAATACAATTTGAACACTAACACAACACTTCATGTTATAATATAAACACCAAAACAAATGAGAATCACTACTAAGTAATTTAAAGCACACAAACAATCCACATAACACTGATCATTACGTAGTTCCCCATGTGCATCTCTATTCGGAACCAGCGTTGAATTTTGAAAGACGTTTTATACGCTGGTTAAAAATGGCAATCGTCACGTTCATAATCTTTTCAGAGTGTAATGACTAGTGAGACTCCTTACAGTCATTCATGTATTTTAAGCCTCGTACACACCAAGATACACTGTCTAGAAACAGTTGCGCAACAGTGTTTCTGGACTCTTGTGAGACAATCCAGAAACAGTCGCGAGGTAGTCCAGTAACACTTGGGAGACACGGGAACATTGTTTCTGAACTGTCTCATAACAGTCGCAGACAATCATGCGCAACAATGTGTCTCAGTGTATGCAGCTTTAGTTTAGTGTAATTTTGTGGTTTACATTATCAAACTGTCTAATGAAGAAAGGAGTAACTCTATTTAAAACATTGGAGATACCTTCAGCACACTAAGAAACAATAATATATATATTAATAAACCGACCTGCTTCATGGATGACCTTAACAGCAAGCAACATCTTCTCCCAGTAGTGACGGATGGTGTACGGTGAGATGGGCTTGGCCTTCTTGTCTCAGAGATATTGCTGATGGTGGTCGCCAGGTCTTGAGCGCCCTTCTCCATCACCAGGCACAGGTAGTCGTCCGTCACTTCACTGAGGAAGGCACCAACTTTTCAGAGACTGTTAATGCATAATGTAATTGTCCATTTATGGTATAAAATTGCCAAGATTTGTGTTGTTTTGGATCCACTTAGTTGAATTTGATAATAAGAACTGTAGCAGATTTTTGTTTTTACTCTATTCTATTTCAATGGAAGCTTAATATAGATGATAGATGTTAAATTAATATATGGATACTAAATTGTCCACCACTATCAGGATAACACCACAGAGGGACGCTAGACTGGATAAAGTGGGGTCAGCGGAGTTTTCCCCCAATGTTTCCCAAGTCTCCTCCCTACCCCGCATTTTAAATTTTCAAAGAATCTAATAGATATTTATAAAGCTGCTATAACTGAAGAAGTCAAAGAATTCATGTACAGGGTGTATCAAAAAGAAGGGTCAAGCTTTTTGGGGGGAGGGAGGTGGACACACTGTACATCCCAGTAACTCACTAGTCGTAGAGGCGGATCACTAGGTGCGATGACTGCAGCCTGAGTAGGATATCAATCTCTTTTTTGTAGGACTCTAAGGTATCTTTTCACACCTTCCAGCATTACCACCTTTATGGCCTTCACCTTCTTTGTTTCACAGTCCAACACCTGCCAATCATGATACACAAATGAAGATTAACCCCCTTGACTCCAACAGACAATTTAACCACTAAAGTATGAATTAATCTCTTGTGTATGAACAGTAATGATAATTTAACCTCATTTATGTTAAAATATTTTCCTCAATGTACAGAATGCACCAACTGTGTCTGCTGAACCTACAGTATGTAAAAACAGTTACATACAAACTCCAATCAAACTGCAATAAACCTATCACATATCAAGTAAGATATTGCTGCTTCACCTAGTACAGTATACCAGTGCTGTTAAATGTCTCTCGGACCATTGCTAATTAAATGAAATAAAAGATCAGTAATTCAGTAATAAACAAAACAAATGAATACCGTACATGACCAGCACCAAGTTACCGGTTTAGGTAGAGCAATTGTCTCTGTTTATCAATGCTACAAAAACTATTAACACTAACAAACTTTAACAAGCAAAGAGCAAGAGAAAATTTGACATTATAAAATGGGATGAGATGTATAAATTCTAAGCCACAAAGTTAGTTATATAAAAAATAATACAAACTGATTCAATGAATTATTCTAAGTCACAGTTTTAGAAGAGGAAAAACATTTAAGTCAATATTACATACCTCATAAACTTTGCTGGATCCTCCTCGACCAAGCAGCCCCAGCTTCATGTAATCTTTTCCCTTAACAGTAATATTATCCTTTGGCAAGAGTCTGTTTGTCTTTGAGTGTTGGAGGCATGGGGAAACTTCTCTGCCCAGTTGAAGGTGTTTGAAACTGTTGAGGGATTGTTCTGGAATGTCTGGAGTTCTGCCTTATCTCCATACTGACAGAAACATTACTATGAAGAGCTTGTTTAAATGTTTCACTTGAGTGTGAGTTTCTTTTAGGGGCTGTGTGCTGCTTCTCACTTGCAGCTGCTGTACAGGGCGGATCATTTACTGGGGATCTCGATCCAGTAACAAGCTTGGAACTGGCCAGCAACTTGTTGTGTTGTGAATCAGACAGTGGTGCAGTGTACTGTAGACCTTCTGTTAGTTTACTGTTACAAGTCTCTATTTTTGTTGCACTGTGTTGATGTCTGATGTTCTGTGCACTGTTGGAAGATACCTGACATGCTCCAATCTCTCGTTGTATTGTAGACTGTGTTGGAACACACTTTCCAGGTGCTGTGGTACTTTGTGTCCAACTTATTCCTGAAGCAGTCACTTGTTGAGAGGTCATCATGGATGGTCTCAAAGACCGTATTTCTTGGGCACCAGCACTGTTTTGAGTCTTCAAAGAGGAAAAGGGTGTGGTCTCTTGCTGTGGTACTGTTACAACATGGTTCTTGCTATCTGCCAAGTGAATTTGTTTATCTGGTAAAACATTCCCTTGCTTCTGTGAAGAATTGCAGTTTGTTTGAGTATCTTTTATAAATTTGTTTTTAAAAGTAATTAAAGATTCAGTATTTTCCCATATTGCTTCCATGCTGGATGATTTCTTAATGGATATAGAGTCACTTAACCATTGAGACGACTGTACTGTAGGTTTTGGTTCCCTCTCAATTTTCACTGCATTATTTTCCTTCAAAGTTGGCAAAGATGAAAGTTCATTCATTGACTTGCTCACTTCAGAAGTTTTCAGAGGTAAATTTTTATTTGTGTTGTGAGTAGTAAGACGTGTCAGTGGGCAGGGAAGTAGGGGTAATGTTTTCCTTTTCATTGTGACCACTACTGCTTCTCATCATGTGTGAAAAGTTCAACTGGTTAACTGCTGGTGTTCTTAAAGTTGTGGTAGGTTTTGCATATATTTGCTCCTGATTTCTGGAGTGGAGAGAGAATGCTTCATTTTGTTGGTGGACAGAGATCTAGCAGGCACTTCATGACTTTCCAAACCCAATTTCTCTTTACTATGGGTGGAAAACCTGTTGTTAACTGTACCACTGGCTCTGTCAAGAGGGGCGACACCGCCACAAACCGCCACTTCCCACTCTCTCACTGTGGTATAGGTATGAGTTCAGTTCTTCTGTTCTGGACTGCAAAAAGAGACATCAAACAAAATAAGTCCTGAATCATCAACAAAAGCTATTAACTGATACAGGTATTTCACTTTAAAGTAGAATACACGATCGATTACAATGAAATTTTCTTGTATCCTTCCTTCAAATTAATGTTAAGAGAATATAAATTCTCTTAAAATAAATCACTCCTATGATAATAAAAAAATAAGCACATGATAGTCTCAGGTGGGTGGGTGGGCTTCATGTATGCAAGTGAAGTTTGATAAAAATTAACGTGACTAATGAGAGAAGGAAGTGTAACACTGTGAACACAATGCTTTTCACTTTAGTACAATTAATAAACCCATTGAATACGATGACTTATTACCCAAAAGACATTGATGTTGTACTCTGGAGTTTAAGCTAACATAACGCACTCAAGGTAAACTTGACATGGATTATATCCTACCATCGCCTTTGATGTATTCTTATCTCCAGGTGAGGGATCATCATTATTTGGGTTGTTAAGACGGAGAGGATGAAGAGGAGGCAGAACCAACTTCCCTTTGCCAAATTTGCTGGAATAACAAAACATTATCAAATATAAAAATTGTTGATTATTACAAGTTACAACCCCATAGAGTATACCATCACACTTGCCTGCTGAATACTGAAGAAAGAACATCAACCCCAAACCTCTATCGTTGACGTATAGGTTAGGTTAGGTTAGGTTAGGTTAGGTTAAGTTAGGTTAGGTTAAGTTAGGTTAAGTTAAGTTAGGTTAAGTTAGGTGAGGGACCAACTCTTACACTGAATCTCCATTCCGACATGTTTCAAAATGGAAAAAAAAAGTTGGACAGAATATTATCAACAGATGGCATAGATTAATAACTGTTGTACCTGTAGTTTATAAACATCAGAGCAAACTATTATACAGTGGAGTCGCCCAATAATGTACGTTAGGGACCACCAGGAGGTGTTACTGCTTCATAAAGTGTTATGACATAGATTTACATGGTAAATATACCCGTCGGTCTGAACGTCAACAAATACACACCAATAAGGGCTAAAAGGTCTTATTCTACCCAAAAGAATAAACAGTATTATACCACGAATGAGTTAAAAATAAATTGAATAAATACTGTACAGGTGTGACTTGAAGTGAGGTGGTCACAAGACATACAGTCATTCAGTAAAATTATCAAACAAGTTTACAGTTGGTTTAGCATAAAGAGAGACCATGTAGGTGTACAGTTCAGCATGTATATATAGACAACACAGGTACAGTGTAAACAGACTGTAGAGATAACCAACCTCATTCCTCATGACTGAAGAGAGGATGTCCTCCACCGTGGGTCCATCATCCCAGCCATCAACCTCCATTGTGCACCCTAGAAAATCAAAATTAAATTAAGAGAATAGTAATGTTATATAAATTGTTGTTCTCATTTAATTGATAATTCCCTCTCAAACTTTCTAGATGAATGAATCAGATAAAGGCGGTATTGTACCCAAATATCTGAAAGAAAAACTAACCTGGAATGAACAAAAGCCCATATCTAGGCATATCCATATCTGAAAAGTCACACATGTAAACAATAAGTTCACATTTAGGTTCTCAGGTGTAAATTGTAGGTTTAAAACTTCAAAATGATAAAAAAAATTAAAATGAGTAGCATTAAAACATCTTCCCTAACAAAAGGCTGGAATCATGAGAATAAATGCCACGCCTTCTACCTTCAAGTAAGCACACCAATAATTCAGTTTAATGGATGTAATTTTATTTAGCACAATACTGTACCTAATTGTTAAGTAAATATATTTTACAGATTACAGGTATCAACTCTATTAGGGAGTCAGTCAACCCATACAAACATGGAAAATGGCTGTCAAAATGATGGTGGTGGTGAAAATAACAATGACGATAAAGATGATGATGAAATCTGCTGTTATGGCATTCAATAACCATCATAAACATATTACCACATGCTCCAATTACTCAGCATGGATGACACACTAACCACATGGTAAAACTTGTAGCCCTTTAAATGGACGTAAACTGTGTCCAAAACTGAGGTGCGGACAACCTACTGTATTATGCAGTTTCTCAGTCATCATCAACTTCATATTGAAACGAAATTCATCTTTGTTGCATTTTTAAGGACTACATCAGCTTGTGGCAGTTATAAATAAGAAGACAAATAACTCCTTACCGTAAATTACGTGATAAAACTCAAAACATCCTTCACTATCAATTGAGAATTTTCAAAACAAAGTAAACATTGGCGAGCTCAACGCTGATTGGTGGAGAATGTGACGGTAACCTCTGCTATACAGTATAGCGATACACACTACCAATGATACTTAATAACTTGATTATTACAACACATGTTTAATCTAATAATTATAACATAAATATTTTAGAAGCATACTATTAATACAAATGTGATTTTAGAGGCATAATCAAGTTACAGGGAAACAATGAAAAGTGAGAGGGAGGAAGACGCATCAAGTTGTTCTTCAGGGTCATTTTCATTTTTAGTTCGCCAGAAAGTACATTTAAGACACTCAGAGAGAGTTAAAGAGGACAGAGGTAGTTTTAATCGCTTTACATTCTTTCCCTCCGTGCGGGGCCGTCGGGGGTAAGGTTGGTGAGCGTGGGTCGTCTCACTCGTGTGGTTGGTACCCCGTAACTCCCGTTGTTTACAAACATTGGCGCCAAATTCAAGACCCCACACGACCGACTTACCTCAGCCAGTGAGGACGAGACCCTTAACCCCCAGAGAACGGGAGTGTTTAGTGCTGTTAATTGGAGATGGAACAATATAACAAAATAGACATGTGTTAAGGTAGTGTTAATAAAGAAGGAAGTTTCAACGCCAAGGGATATGGACCTCAGTGATCTGAACTACAAAGATGAAAGATCGGGGAGCATCTCAATAAAGTAAGTTCATAAATTTGTTGTTAAGTAGGCTATGTTAAATAGGGTGCAAATGATTACACTCTCTGAGGAAAGCAAACTCCCCAGTCTCACCCCACCCTCCTGTGTCACACAGACTTCAAAGTTCGCATTTTTTTTACTGGATGTTAAGATCAAAGTTGAACACACAGGTAGCCCAAATATTAAATAGAAAAGGTTAACCTTCAATTCCTGACGTCTACAGGGGGTATGGTATGATTATTATATAATTTTTGCCACTTATCAGGCGGTCTATCAGTGTGAATACAGGAGAAAACCGGGGACCAGGAAACTTGTGCTGTCTGGTAGGGTCACACTGGATAACACTATTCTCACGTGTCTGAGCAGAGGAATCGAACCCTTGACATATTGGTGAGAGCTACGCATATTACTGCTGTACTACAGTTTGTAAGATGAGATAACTTCAGCAGCTGAACGAGCAGTAAAACAAAACACATATCTTTAAAGTTTCCCATTGCCAAAATACATTAATGTAAAAAAAAAAAAGACAGGTTTATAAAATTAACATTGTGTTTTTTTTCGTCCTCATTTATCGTATGTACTATAATTATCCCCCCAAAGGGTGATAGCTCAGAGGCAGGTGTTCAGCAGCTGGCCAACACGAAAAGTTCCCTGTACAGTATATCTTCACTCCAACAAGACTGACCATCAACCGTCCCTGACACATGATATAACCTTTTTTATTATAGACGACGTACTCCTGTAGTTATGTTCAAATTCATCAATATCACATTTCTTGCCACTTGATACAGTTTGTATTGAACCTGGAGTAGAGTACGACGTATATAATTTCCCAGAAACTTATTAGAGGTACAGTATAATGAAACACACAGTAACTTTTTCACTTTATTATACCATGACTAGCAGGTGTTAGATAAGCCAAAAGTGAACCACAAGAGCTGCAGCTAATAATTTATTCAGTAAATTGTACATACCGTAATAAGCATATTAAAGAAAATTAATAAGATACTAATTATATTTGAACTTTGGAGGATTTGATAATAGTCTTAAAGTTAATACAAATATTTGATTGTAAAAGAGATTCTTAAACTGCTGTTGGAACTGACCAGACCAACATCAGCAGCTATCATATTTTACCAGTGAACTTCACATACAGTAAGGTGAGAAATATGACACAAGCAGGCATAGTTACAGTAGTCACCCCCCAGTACTGAAGTAAGAATTCTGAGAAATTTAACTTTTTAGAAATACTGTATAACAATTCTGTGAGTTACTTTAGAGATTTGACATGATGATTTTGAATGAATTATGGGGATTTAATGATCAAGGAAGCTTTTAATGGTACAGTTACTATTCCAAAAGCTCTACCACTGAATAAACAATTGTCACTCCATCTTTAACAAGTTACAAATATATTTTTTTAATGGTTATTATTACAAAGTACAGTCAGTGTTGTTTGTTCTCTGTACTGTACAATATTACAGAGTTCACTGAAAATTACATGGCCCTGGTAAACACACCTATGCTCTGGCATGTCCCCCATTTCTTTTATTTTCCACTTTTTGCCACAGTTTAGTTCCAAAATAATGTAGTGTCAATAATCTTATAATAATTGCCGTGTTTCCCAAGTTATCTTACGACCTGTAAATTTCTCCCCCAAATTAGCTCCTAGCATGTTCTTGTGACAAGTCATAGTGGTAAGCATCTGGCTGAAAGAAATTGGAGAAGTACTTTTATATGATGACAATGGCAGAGTAAACATAAAACTTCCCATAATCATTCCTCTTCCTCTAATTATGCTTCACAATTTGCAACCATTCCAACCTGTTGTCATTTTTCTCCACACAAGTACAGTAGCTAAAACAACTACCTGTGTATACTTTGTGGGAAACAATATGAGACCACGGACAATAAATTTTGGTATATGAGGGCTGTCACTAGTCACACGTAAAATTTCGGAGCATATCGACCCCCACCTGCACTGATAGTTGTTTTAGCTACTGTACAAATATTGTACTGCACTGTGTTAAAGAAACTCGATACAGTATAGTCAATTGATATCAGTTCACTCATTAAGGGTTGACATCAATTACAGTTTGTTGAAAATTTAAAACTTACAAACGGGTAACTTTTTATAAATAGAGCTTTTATACTGTATTAGCAATAACTTCCTTAAGTTTCATTTACTAACAATTTGTGATCAGGGAATTAATGTAAAAAACTTGTTCAGTACAATATATAGCTATTTCATCCTGGGGTCATCTGGAAACTGCACAATCTAACCTACAGTTTCCCATACTTTAGTCAGTATTTTAAGTATATTTTAGGCTTACAGTATAACACTACAGTATTGCCAAAATCTGGGAAATTTCTGAATTTGGTATATTTCTGGCCACAAGGTTGCTGGATAATCGATACACTGCCTGTACATCACTACTCACGGCTATAACCATATTACTGTTGTGAAGTTACACAAGCAAATCTAGCTACTTCTTGTAACTGAGAAAAACATTGCAAACTAGGATTAGATATGGTTAATACAGCTTTCATGGCCAGATAATAGTACCTACCACCCTCTCTCTTTCTCACCAAAAGCTTTGGGTTTTAGTTCAGTACGGCAAACTGTTAGCAATTGAATGTTCCATTGTGAATCTAAGAATTGCTGGGTTCACTGCAGCAGGAAAGGGTTTTTCTTGACTTATAAAACATGTCAAGTAGACACACACACACACACACACACAGTACCCTAAAATCATATGACAGGTATATGACCTAACAAACATATATCATCTACACAATTCTCACTTTGTATAATTTAATAAGATACCCTCGGTCAATATTCATGAACTGACCTCAGTCCCATAATATCATTGTACTGTACTTGAAGTTCCACCATCCTGACAGCATGAATCACCCCACCTGAACTGCACCTCCATTTTACCTTTTTAAATTATGTCATTTAGCAGAACTATTAAATAGTTAAAGTTGGTCCTAGGAAAAAGTTAAATATGTATGTGGGAACAGTCCAAATGTTTGAATTAAACTGTGGGTTTATTTTTTGTACGGAAATTAATTTTGATTTACAGTTTATGCACTTGATGGATGATAAATGCAATCTGGGTTGAAGTGATCCAATTCCGTCAGACAGTGCCCCGACAAATTCCACTTGGTCGCCTATGTGTAGTCCCAGCATAAACTCCTGGAATGTGCTGTCTGCATAAAGGCTAACTTGAGAACCTTCATTGCCAAACTTCCAGTAAGAGGAGCTCATTGCCACGGTAATATCAAAATCATACTCATTCCAATTTTCCAATGAACATGTCTCAGACCCTAAGACATTATGCAGCAACTGACAGCGCTCACTCTGAGTTGTTACAACCTTAGTGGATGGACATGTGGGCAATCTTTTACCTAAATAACACAAAACAGGTTGTATTAACACTGCCGGTAACACTGAGAAAGCAATGTGGGGTAAGTTGTGATATTTATAATGTTTACCTGTGCAATAGACCCTTGCCATTTCACCAGTGTTTCCTTTAGAGGCAGACAACCATGTGTGGTAACTGCTCCTGTTTCTTTTGAGGGAAGACAAACATTCTTGTAACTCTCCCACTGTAGATTGGTGTACTGTTTGGGTGATGACTTCACAAAGAGGCTGGGGTGCAAGAATAATAACACCATGACCCCCATCACCACCCACTTACACACTAAAATTAAGTTTGGACACCAGTGTTTCAAAAAACCCAAGATAAATAAAACACTACAAAAAATTAATATCAAAATCTGATAATTAATGCCACCATGGAAGCCAAGACCAACACATATAAGGGCTGGTCCCACAAACAACATAATGGAAGCAATGGTGGGCAAGAGGACCAGGATGGACCACCCAACTACAGGATATAACAAGTCAGTTGGTGCAGCCACCTTCTGGGAGGCTACTATGGCTAAATGACACCATAAAACACTGACCAGGTGAGGAGGAAGGTGAGAAGGGCCACTACGTACCACAATAACAAACTGGAGAATAAACCACACTAAGTGAAGGATTGGTCCCACTCCCAAGTGCAGTTTTACCTTCCAAAATATATCTATGTGGTCTTCCATAAATAAATACTCCAAGCCAGTTCCCTTAGACACAGAGACAAGCCAACTGCTAATACTACCATGGGCACTTGGTGTCATGGCTAATATATAAACTGTCAGTGAGAGGAACTGCCATCTCGTAAGCTTCTCAGGAACGTATAAAAATGTTGTGATTGCAGTGAAACATATTATAGGTAAGAAGATGATCATAAGTTTAGGTGAAGTTAATGGTACTGTACTAAGATAAAAGAACACAGCTACACACATGGTAGCATATGGTTTCCAGCACCGAGATTTAAACCGACCTTCTGCCTGATCTACATCCAGTTCTGGACAATAATGAGAAAATACAAGAGACCAAACACGAAAGCTGTCAAATCGCTTTCTGTTCAGCAACATATGGACTGAAGACACTATCATCACTATTACAGATACACAAGACACAATGACTGGGAGAAAAACTATCACATATTCTGCTCCAAATAATGACATTAAGCTACCTAGGAAACAGATGATCAGTCCACTGGTAACAGGAGTCAACAGTCTTAAAACCTTGATAATATAATTAGTGAGTACAACACCCAGGAAGTGGATACAACTTGGGAAAATTCTCTCAAGATTCCTACGGGGCCAATTTATTGCCTGAAGGAAGAGCGGGTTTGATGTGTATGAATTCAGAGTGAGAAAGTGATGCATCGGAGGAACACGACCCTGGTAGTAGAGGACTGAACCCGACACTACGTGGTCTTCGGTGAATCTTTCCCCACCGTAACGTTCCTCCAGATTAGCGTAGCTCTCAGGCTCCTTGGGATTCTGTAATACATCAAAATTAACATCAGACTTTTTATTTGAATGCTATATTAATAAACAAATAAAGTAATTTTATATCTTTAGTTTGCTGATGACATTACAGGTATCATACTATACGATGATATTAACTGGAACATGAAAATTGAGACCAGCAAGTATCTCCAGAACATTTGGGTAAAATCAACAGGTGGTAACAGTTCCTCTCCCCTCTCCTCTTATATACTGTACTGTCCTTCTTGTTAGTCTTTTTACCTTTTGTTGGCCATCAGCTTCCATATCATCTTTATCTCCACCTGCTAACACTTCCTGAACCTTGCTTGCCAGACCACAGCTACTGATGATGTCATTCCCATCACTCACACTGAAAAGAGTCAGATAGTTATAGGTAAAGGAGGGAAAATATCATAACATCAGGATGGTAAAGAATAAATCAATATTTCAAACACGAGCTTAATGAGTTAAATCTAAATTGTACTTTTACTTTGCACATCCCAACATGATGAGTCTTGGTAGCACTTTCCTCTTTATCACGTGGTGGATTAAAGTACAGTGCAGTAGAGTATACAGAATGGAAGAAGAAATTGTAATAATAAAACGATAAAAGAATCATCACCCAATGACTCTTTTTCTCACAATTCAATCTGTCTCTTGGTCGGATTAAATATTGTTCACTAAGTTAGCTACAGTACCAGAAAAGAGCATGTGAGCTGCTCTCCTCGCCAGCTTTTCCTGCAAGTCCATAGCCAAACATTCTCGCACCTCATGGTAATTATGCTCACATATTCCTGTAATAATAAGAACATATACAGTACAGTATTCATGCTCATCTGTTTCTGTGTATAATAAATTCCAAAGTGGTGAACAAATAGACTGAAACTGATTTATAAGAAACAAAAATCTATTTATGAAATATTATACAGGGGGTGTATTGTACCTTTGAGGTACAGTATTATTGTTTCTGCCTCTACAAACTACTGTTGTGTGTCAGTGTATCTGAGATACGAGAATTTACTATGACCAGGTCATATCTTTCAGTACAGTACTGTATACTGTACATGCTGCATTATATTACTGGTAGTTTTTTAAATACTGTACTGCACATTTCATATTAACTGTTATTTCATTCTTTTTTATTAACAATTTATCAACTTTGTTATAAAAAAACTTGTAGTACAGTACCGAACATTACAGTATTTCACTCTGGTGTCACTAGGACTACAGTGCCAGTAAACTGTACAGTACAGTATATTCCATCTAACCTTTGGAATATTTCTCCATACAACATAATACTTTATTTAATGTTTGATGTATTTTCTACACCTATAATTTCCTGAATCTGGCTCATGTTCAGTGCCAAGCTAGATGGGTAATCAATATTGTACTGTATACAGTACAGTACTACCTGTGTTTCTAAGTTATTTTGGCAATGACAGTGCTTAATATTTTCATTTAACTTTTGGAATTTATTATACTGTACTGTAGTTGTACATTTCCTTCCCTGTAATGCCTTTCCATTACCCCACATTTGTAAAAGACATCAGCCCGCTTTTGGCCAGGCAATAGAGTTTACAGCCTACCAATGTTATTGTCAAGACAGTCTTGAAGCAGTGTTGTTGCCTCGCTGCTGCCTTGAAGGGATGCCCGGGTCAGCCAGAACACTGCCAAACGCGCTCCCTCTTTGTCTTCCTCTTGATCTAGAAGACATAGAACAGTATCATACATCTGGCTTAGATTTTAACAGTAATCTCTATACTCAAGTTACTCAGGCGTGAATGTTAACTCTGTTCTGGAATAGTCAAGAATCACCCTTATGGTATATTTTTACATATTCAAGCTTCTTAAGTCTACCTTGGGGCACAGGTATGGAAGCACCACTACAACAACAGTCAGGGGTTTAAGTATTTCTACAATTTATTACATATTTCTTCTTGCTATTTATTCTTTAACGTGGAGCACTTAGAGTAATGCCTCTCTTAGAACTACCAGGAGATAAGCTCAGCTATAATATACAATACATATACCTGTACAATTGCAGTTGAAATCAGACAGGAGGATTGATGAGTGTAAATTTGGCAAGTGCTGACAATAGTACAGGTTGTCCATAAATTACTTTACTCATTTTAAAAGTTAATAACCTTAAAAGTACAGTATTGTATACACATGTGGAGATATACCAAGACAAAAAAATACATATGTTATTCATCAGGTACATAACAAAAACAGTGTTTTCTATAATGTTTTTGAAGTTATAGATTTCTAAAATGCGTCAGACAATTTACAGACACCCCGTACAGTAATAAATACAGTCTTGTCCTCAAACATAACTATACTGTACATTCTAAATAAAGATAATACTATCTCACCCTGATCCAACTGCTCTGAGGGTCTTGCCCATTACCAACTGAGATTCGGGACACGCATCCTCCGCCAGTTGACTCCTCATCCGCCGTAGCGCCCCTCGGTCCACACAGTTATGGAAAGTTTGGGTCGACACAGTAATAATAGGGATGAATCTTGAACTTCTATTAAATGAGAAAAATGAGCAGATAGCTTGCTAGATTGCACAAAAAGCTATTAACAGGTAGAGTACAGTACTAGCAAACCCATAAAAGTATGTACAGTACGCCTCACGTGTCAAGGTTCCACCACGGGAGGCGAACTTTGTCTGTGACTGTATAGCACTGTATTACTTTGAAGAAATTATAATAATGTATTGTTTATGATAATTTAAATTTATTAGTGATTCATAGGTTAAGTTAAGTAAATTCACTGTTACTCAGTTTTATCTGTCTAATCTGTAAATAAAAGTAACTTTTAACATTCATTTTCAGTACGGTACTTTATGATATCTTTAAAGGAATATGCAACTCTTTCTAACCTAACTTAACCTGCCAACCTAACTTAAGCTACCTAACCTAACCTATTAGGAGGGTTAGAAAGTTAAGTAGTTTAGATTGGTTAATTGTATCACAAATATATTATAAAATGTAGTAGTATTTACCATAGTAAGTTTTGAGAATATTCCTGTGGATGTGATGAAACATCTTAGATGTAAACAATGGATATGGCATCTATCGGGAAAGCAAACAATAATGTTTGGGATGCAAAACAAAATAATTACAAATAACATAATGGAAAAATTATTCCTTCTAATTTTTGGAGCTTTTCATGAGGCAAGAAAGCATTTAATTTATTTAGTACTATATAATTTCTTCAAGTTGCTGAATAACGTGTGCAACTGTCATCCAGCACTAATCGCTTTTATGTAGGCTGAGGTCAATCGTACGGACAAATATCATTACATAGTCTCCTGCAATGGCCGTGACAGACAATGTGATGAACACAATTTCTCAACCATTGCAAGAGACTAGTAACGAAATTTGTTCATACAGTTAGCCACAGTGTTTCATTTATGCAGTGTTGATGGTACAAGAGTAAAGTGTTGCATCCACTCTACCTTACACCATTAGTGTGTGTGCACCTAAATTTAACCTAATTGTGCAACAGTAATATATGTCTTACATCATTACACCCTCAGATGTCCACCAATAATGACACGAGGCTTGCAGTGATACATAGACACATTTTGGCTATATTGCCCTCCCTCTCAACCCACCCTAGTGATACCTGTTGCTCCTATTCCTTTGCTGTACAGGCATTATTTACAAAGACAGATTTCACATGGCCAGAAAATCCAACTCCAATATTTCTTTATAAGTAATTACCCCTTAGGCGCCTAAATATCTACCAAATAGCATTTGCAGCGGCAGGGATTAATGGACAGCAATAACATAAAATAAATACGTGTGGATGAAGACAGGACCAGTACCTTGAACACTCCACTGTCGGCGTGAAGTCTTCTTAGTGGTGGCTTCCTGCAGGTGGCCATCTGAGGGCAGTGTAGCAGCCATCCTGCGTCCATACACTTATCACTCACCTCCACACTGTATAACGTGAATGTTAGTCAGCAGGATAAACATGAGCTCATACAGCCATCCTGCTCCTGGACTCCCACACTACTCCCGGAAAGGTAAACAGACAGTCAGACCTGAGTGGGCACCCTCATGCGGTTACCAACACTCAATATAAAACTTTCATTATTGTCCTTTTTGTACCTTATTACAGTACCTGAAAGAGTCCACATACCTACAATCATTGACTAAAAAATAAATGCAACAAATTTTCTGGTTTATTTGTTGACTTTATTTGAGGATAAGGCTGAATATGTAAATAAATAAAATGACACAGGTGACATTTGTAAATGCGTGGGTAGCATTAAGGTGACAAGATAATGAGGTAGTGCACAGAGGTGTGTCCAGCTCCCCATCCTGACACACTTAATCAGTAACTTCTTTTACGTTTCAAATTTACTTTCCTCCTCTATCATTGTTTTATGGCCATTGTTTTCATGCATAGTTTTCCCACTTTTACTCAATGTTTCTTTGCGATTAGTCATTAACTTGTATTCGAACCTAAAATGAATTTTTCTTTTAAAAATAGTATATATACATACTAAACTGTATACCTGTGTTGTTTATATAAATGCTGATATACCTGCGTAATGCTATTGCAGGTAACGAGCACACCTGTCACCCACTTTGTCCTGGGTTCGAGTCCTGTCTGCGAGAAGAGTTTCCTCCAGTATACAATGTACAGTACAATACTTACATAAACAGTGCTGGCATAATGTACATAGACAAATCAGGTATATAATATACAGTGCTGGTATACAGTGTACATAAACAATATACCAACAATGGGATCTTATTAAAAATTTGGACTTAAATTTTGCTTAAAAATTTGTCACTAGTACAGTTTTTATGCTGATTCTAAGTGTTATAACTCATTTTTGGCGGAAATAAATATACTTAAAATTTATTGGCGTTTATTTGCAGGAATAGTGTCTATTTTTGCGCAAACACTCCAAAAATTGTATCGTTGTGGAATGCTGTCAAGAGCATAAACAAGGAACAAGCCGGTACTGATGGCCGAGTGTTTGGTGGGTACCTGTGTGAGTTTACGTAGCGCCAGCGTCACAAAGGGCAAAATTTGTACGAGCTTATGTAAGGATGATTGGCCAGCACTTCTGATTCATAAACAAGTAAGTCACCAATAACACATTTCGGCAAAACATCAGTTTCACATTTAAAATCTGTACGAAAAACTGTATCTTTAATGCAAGTTTAAAAAATTTGGAAGTCCAAATTTCTCATAAGACCCCAACAATGTACTGTGCGGCTTCTTCAAGTTTGAGGTGTGACCCCTTGTGGGGCGGGTGTCTACCAGCTCCAGGAATGTACGTTCAACCAAGTAGTGCCCCCTGAAATGCTTATCCACTTCGATTAGGTTGCCCTTCGCGCGTCTGTAGTATAAGCTAGGGAGTTGCAGGCGCTCCAATCTCTCTGGGTAACTGAGGTTCCATAGAGCAGGCACCAGTCTGTTGGCCCTCTTTTGAACATTTTGAATCAATTGACAATATCTATCAAACCTCAGGGACCAGACGGGGTGACAATGCTCCAGACGGGGAAGCACCTATCTCTTGAAGATCATGAACCTTCTAGTTTTGTTACCGGTTTCACCTTCTCACAATGCCCCGAGAACTTACATTCGTTATCAACACCACACCCAGGTCCTTTTACCATTGGGTCTCAATTAATGCAGTCTCTTATCCTGTTGGGACATGTGATACACCTCCTTACTATTGGTGCGAGCCAGCCTTTTGCACTTTGTGACATTGAATCTTAGCAGTCATTTCCTCGACCATTTTTGAAGCTCATAGAGATCATTTTGCAGCTCTTACAATCTTTGACTTGACCTCACTAGCAATCTGCCTCTGGAACTCTTTTTCAGCCCTTCTACACTCTGACTTTGCTTGGTTCCTGGCGCCTACATCCTCCTGTCCTGCTCATCATTTGTCTAACCCACTTCTCGAAATCCTGAGTTTTCTTCTTAACTTTGCTGACCGCTGCATGGTTCATGTGTAGTAGTCTCCTTGTATTCTTGGAGGCACTGGGTTTGGTCTTAGGTATATATTTGTCGTTCGAATGGTTTACGTTACTGGGTATGATATTCAGCTTAGCATCTGCGTTCTTATTCCTTAGTAAGTCAGGGCAGTGTATACTCCCCATCTCCTCTCTCATCCCGTCATAATTTCCTTTGTAATATTTGAACCTTGGCCTCGTTCTGTCATGAACCAACAGTTAAATCTGAAGGACAATATTACGTGGTGACTGGTGCCAACTGGCCACCATTCCCTCCTCGTTAGTTATGATGAGGTTCAGCGGTTTGGGTGTTTGCTCCCTTCTGTAGTGAGTCGAATCTTTAACATGTTGGAATAGAAAATTGTCTCAGAGGATTTACGAAAACGAGTGGCTGGATTATTTAAGTTGTTTGGCGTGGATTCATTTTTCCAGTCGCTGTCACCATAATTAAAGTCCCCCATGACAAGGGGGTGGCTAGGGTTCTGCACCATTACATTGTCGATTAAGGTTCTTAAGTTCCTCTGGTTTAATACGCTACAGTTTGGGGATCTGTAGATACATCCAACAATGAGTAAGTCTCTCCCCTTGTTTAATGTTACATTCTTTGAAAACATCCTCTCCCTGCACCCTCACCTGGCTGGCTCTAAGGTCTTGCCCAGCATAGATAACCAAACCCCTCTTGCAAGTTTCTTGGGAAAGGTTCATAAATGAGTCATATCCATCTATATTGAACTCGCATTCCTCTGGTTTGACTCTCCTGTTTTTGTACAACAGCTCTATAACACTTACTATAACGGGTTGATGTACCCTCAGTAGTGTTACAAACGCCGCTCTCTTGCCGAGAAACATGTCAGGATTAGTGTACACGAGTTTCAAGCCGGAAATTGTCTTCTGTAATGTCTCTGGTCTTGACTCCGGCCCTCCTCCATTCTCTGCGGTTGACTCGTTTACTGTATCCCTTGTGGTTTGCGGTCAAAGATGACAGGTGACATGGTGCTCGCCTCCTCCTGGGTGGGAGGTAGAGTGGATGGTGGGTGTCCTGTCCCCTGGTTCTGTGCTGGTACTCTTGCTCCTACTACCCTCCCCTTGTATATAACCCGAGTACGTCCATCCAGGCTCCTCCCTTCTCTGCTTCAAAGACTCCAGGAGTTTTTTGTGTTGCAAAATGTATTACATACTGTAATTACTTTTGCAATACTAATTTCTCACCACATATGGATTTCCAAGGTCAGTTTTTGGTGTTTGTGTGTTATTCTGGGTGTACTGTACTAAGTAGTTGAAGACGATCACAATATACTTCATTACACCAAATATCTTTTGTTGAAGACTATCATAAGATGTGATAGTCTTCAACAAAACATGATATTTGGTGTAATGAAGTATAGTGATAAAATCTTCAACATTATGTTACAAAACTTACAAGATGTACAGCAACTCTTTTCTGCTCATGCCTTGGCAAGACCAGTGGTGCTTGCCAAGCACTTTGTATTTTCGTAAACAATGTCATCAAAATAAAAGACCATGTCTTCTCATAATCTCTTTATTATTTCTTAAGACAAAGTACAGTCATTTTTAAGGCGTCATCTTGTTTCTCCTTATTGGCGAGTTGCTCTTAGAATATGTCTTCAAATCTTAGATAATGATGGTGGTATTAAAGATGAGTGAAATTGACTTCCCAGGGTACTCTTGGTAGTTGAGTTTGCTGTTTAACAGTGTGGTTATGCTAAGTGTTTGATCTTAATACTGTACAGTTACTTTGACATTACATATTAACATCCAACACTTAGCATAACCACACTGTTAAACAGCAAACTCAACTACCAAGAGTACCCTGGGAAGTCAATTTCACTCATCTTTAATACCACCATCATTATCTAAGATTTGAAGACATATTCTAAGAGCAACTCGCCAATAAGGAGAAACAAGCAACGTTCAGTGTGTAGCCAATTCTGCCGTGCTCGAGTAGCTGCCATAACCTGAAATAGAAAATACTACAATTAAATTTCTATTCAGTACAAATACTGTACTTATACCTAAAGTTGTTTGATACCAATGATTTTACTTTGTTCAGATGCTACATTACAATTAACCCTTTCTGTCGTCACATTTTACTCTGAATAAGTAACTAGCCTTCAAGATATTTACTTTACATTACTGTATACAGTTGACCCTTGCCATTCACGGATTTGTGATTCATGATTTCAACAATTCGTGGTAAGCAAGTGGTGGCTAGCTCGTGAGCCTTTTCCTGCAATGCAACAGTCACCCCATGCACCCTAAACATCTCCTCTTCCTCTGTTCGCACTCAACCATTGCCTGTGACACAGCATCTTGTGTTGTACTCTCAAAACTTTAGTGTTTCTGTATGAAATGGTCCCTAAAAGACTGCTTAGTGTCAGTGCTAGTGATGTCAGTGGGGTGAAATGTAAAAGGCAGTCAGTGATGACTCTGACAAAGAAAGTTGAATTATTAACTAAGTTAAAAGAGGGATGAGTGCTGCTGCGGCTGGTCAGTTGTTTGGTATAGTATACGGTAGTTTACTAAGGTATTATAAGTTGCTATTCGTGGTTTTGCCTATTTGCGCCATTCCTTGGAACCTAACCCTTGCGAATAACAAGGGTTTACTGTACAGCCTAGAGCCACAACTTTGCTGTTCATCATAAACTTGGTAACTTACCCAAGATTGTTGTCATTCCAGTAACTTTCACCTCTGAAGAGACCTGCAATATATTACATGAACTTAGTCAATAGTAATTCTGTATAGAAACGGTTGAAAAGAAATACAGTACTGTATATTAGTTCTGTCAAGCACGTTTTACTTTGAACATTAAGCTGGTGCAAAACATTACCCTTTGGTATGTCACTTTATTGACTCCCATCCTGCACAAACATGTTAGTTACTTTATAAATACAAAATAATTTTCACTAATGCATTTGCCTACTTTAACAGATCATTATCCTCCCAAATTTAAAGGACATTGACGTTACGGCATATTTAAAAAATCCTCTTCGTGGCTTGGAGGGCTGCAGACATCCCGAGCCTGGTCTCTGGTAAAGTCTTGACATCTAACTTCACTACTGCAGTTTAAACACCTCAATGGCCCTTGTACATTTAAAGTACTTTGATGGTACAGCGGTAACACGCGTAACTCTTACCAATATGTCAAGGGTTCGAGCCTCGGCCCGGATACACGTGAGAAGGATATTATCCAGTGTGACCTTCACTACCAAACACCATACTAGGTTCCCCGGTTCCCTCCTGCACTAACACTGGATAGACCGGCTAGTAGGCTGATAAGTGGCGAATATGATAAAAGAAAAATAGATAAACACTTTTGATGCAACAAACCATTAGCCATTTAGCCAGTAATTCAAGCATGACACTGAATTTGGACAAATTTAGTCATGGTACTTAACACGTTAGTTGTATCAAACTATTCATCTGTACTTTAAATGGAGTCTTCAGAATATCATGATTTTGTTAAAATAAACATCTCAAATTAACAACACCATAACTTGTCTCCTCTACAAATTTGTTTCCCACTCATGCTAAAAAATAATCCTTATTAGCCAACTGCAGGTATCACAAATTATCATGACTAAAGTAATATTTAGCATTAAATTATCACAACATTTTTAATCAATATTAACTACAGTATTGTACAGCCTTTTAGATTTATTTTTCATTACTGTATACAGCCAAGAGCCACAAATTTGTACGCTTTGATATTTAACAATTACTTCAATAACTATTCCCATTACTTTTCAAAATTTTACATAACTAAGGATTTGAAAGTGACGACTTGCCATGAAAAACTTCTTAGTTCCATCAAAACTACTTCCATGCAAATTCTTTGCTAAACGTAAATTTTTTACTCTTAACAAGATCAACACTTTACCATAACACCCAGTTCCGTCTTTCTACACAAGTCCGGCACTGACGCTCAAAAATTCTTTGGTCATCGTCTTGCACCAACCTGAAAAAAATATATAAATTACAGTACTGTACAGTACGCTTCATAATATTAATAATAATATTAATAATAGCTGGTCTTTTGGTTCTCAAAAGTGCAATTTCTATTAATGAATTCACTAGTGCTTGAAACAATACAAAGTCAAAGACTTGAGAGTAAAAAGAAATACTGTACTGAACTGTACTACAATAAATGATCACAAAAAGTGACAGTTCGACTTCTGTCATTCATATACTGTACCCTAAATTTTAATACAGTACTTCCTAAACCCTGTAACTCTCCATCACTGTACCCTGTTCAGGATCAAAAGCTTTAAAGAAAAAAAGGCCTTAAGTTGTTTCTTATAGGCCTCCATAGAAGTCAGCTGCTTCATGGATGCAGGCAACCAATTGTACAATCTAGGTGTTGTATAGGAAAAGGACCAGGCAGTAAAAGTACATTCCCTTACTGCTCTAGGCTCCTCAAGGTGTGAAAGATCATCACTACTATGCAAAATCATTTAAGAATGTAGTAGTGGAATTAGTAGGTTGGCCAAATACTTGGCTCGCCAAACATTGGTATTTTAAAAGTCATCAGACAGGTTGAACTCTGTCAAGAATGGGGTAGTGGGGGTCCTCGCTTGACGATGCTATTCAGCAGAGGTCACAATACACAAGGGGTTAAGCGTACTCTGCAGACTAAACATGTAAAACCTATATCACTTCAAATGGATTGCTCTTGTATTTTTCATTAATTTCACGAAGTGAGAAAGAATTATTATGTTCTGTGGGAAGTGTCTTACAATAGGTAGTTAAGCCATGTAACTAACTGGTAAATATTTTGAAAATTGAAAATTATCTCATCTTATCACTGTACAGTAATCCAATATTTCCGTGCTGGATTTAAAAGCACTGTACCTGTATTGTGCTGGTCTGGCTGGAGTACTGGCCATGGTTGATGTACTGGCCATGGTTGATGTACTGGCCATGCCCAATACCTGTCTGTGTGTATTGACCATGGCCTCACTGTCTGGGTACCTCTTTGTTCCACAGCTGAAATTAATGAAAATGTTAATGTCGCGAGTCGAACATAAGCTTTTTACAGTAGTTAATAATGAATTGCCTTACATACACACGCGAACGGTGAAAGTTTCAATTTAGCTCCGCAATTTTAATTCTACTTTCAGACAGGATCTTCATCATTAATTATAATTATTTTAATATACTTGGATTTTAACTAATGAAGAAACATGGAAAAACCTAAAATAAGTTACTAAAACTAAAGACATTCTCAACGAACATGGAGGATTAAAAGTAATTTTATGACCACAAAAAAAATCAATCAATCTAGTCAAACCAAACAGGTAAAAGTTTGTAAAGTTTGGTTGGTGATTCATAAATTATTACATATGGGGATAAGTTCACACACACCTTAGTAACTGGCCATATCTAGCATTCTATACGCAACATACTGAATATTAATACAGGGTATATAAAAAATCATCACTATCAAAGTAGAACATGAATTTCACCCAAGTTAAATAATATTAAAACTTTCTTATACCTTGTAACGTTAAGTAGTTCCTCCCTCCCCAGTTCTATAGTGTTGCTCTGGCCACAGGAATTTAAAGTTCAAAGTACCAAACTTTCTCGTGAAGCTGTTAATCATCTGAGGTACTTAAAAAGATTGAATTAGTGACATAACGCTAAAAAATACGTTAGTTTAATATTTTGTGCATAGCTTATAGGAAAATCCAGGACCGGTAAAGATTTTGTCGAGTTTATTTTCTCATTATTCAAGGTGAAGCACTAGAGTTTAATTCATTTTATTTATTATCAAGAACACAGACTAGCTTACAAAACACGATAGAATGACTCCCAAGGTTGTTAAAAAAAACTTGATTCGCATAGGCGGTGATGTCCAACAAAATGTGTCAAAATAAATAATGAAGGATCGCATTTTGTATTTATTTATGACGGGATTATTCACTGATATGATATTTTTCAACACATAAACTACAAATGAAGTGTTTAATCTCAATAGGGAGGAATAAAAAATGTGGTCTGTTAGCGGTAATTCGAAAGGCTATCGTCACGATAAAATTATATCTCTGTCCACAGCTGAGAGATCTTCCAAGCACTCCGTCAGAATTTTCCAAAACATAAATTGACCCTATATTTAATTATAATTTATATGCAGGACTAAATTATAAGCCAGACTTACCGGAATGTGAGGAAATTTGTGGATATTGAAGGTGTGGGGAGGCAGCCAGCAATCTAGGTGACGGCGTGAAACTCTTGCTCCAAATCTATAACACGTAACTGGCACTTCACCAGCCATGACGTAGTAATAATAATAATAATAATAAAAATCAAACAATATTTTCTTATCATTATTACTACTAATAATAATAATAAAATAGCATTGAAAATAACAACTAAACAGACAGACATACCTGAAACACCTACATATCCCTCCAAAAATAAAATAGATAAATAAAACAACATATGCTCCCTTGATAATCTTTATTCAAGTTACCAGCAAAAAAAAAAAAATAAAAAATAATAATTATAATATATTGGCATTCAGAGCTCGTGTGTTGCATAATTTACAAACAAACAACTTCACATTTTGTACACTATATACACAGTCTCAAAGGGTCCATTAGCCAGTGACATGAAGCGGGGAGTAAGGGGTAAGGAGGGGTGTAGGGAAGGGGTGTGGAGGATAAAGGGAGTGGGGAGTAGAAGGTAGGGGGTAAAGGGAGTAGGAATTAACTTTTCTAGTGCACATGATGACATATTAGGTAATTGATCACACACACACACGTAATGGTTGTTGATTGTCAATTAATAGCAGATTTAACCCCTATTTTTAAGTCATCCATGACAGTCAACCACCATCACCGCCATTTAAGTCAGTAATGGTTGTCAAATACCATATTATGATCATTATAACCACAATCAACCACCATCATCACTATCAATCACCATCAATAAACTACAAATCAGCCACCATCATCATTAATTAATAACCACAATCAACCAATCACCACCATCAATAAACCACAAATCAACCACCATTACAAAAGTTATTTCTACACCTTAATGATTTGGCAAACAGTAATTAGAGAAAAAACACAAACAAACAAATAAACAGTCAAAGAAACAGACGACAGTGGTGATTTAACGACCACCATGGTGATTTAACGACCACCATGGTGATTTAACGACCACCATAGCGATTCGACCACCATGGTGATTTAACTACCACCATGGTGATTCGACTACCATGTTGATTCGACTACCATGGTGACTTAACTACCACCATGGTGATTCGACTACCATGGTGATTTAACGACCACCATGGCGATTCGACCACCATGGTGATTTAACTACCACCATGGTGATTTAACTACCACCATGGTGATTAAACATTTAAGCAGGGCAGTCAACACACTAGACTTCATATACATCAAAGTTATGGCAAAAAATCATCTTAAGTAAGTAATGTTTACAGCCAGAATGAGATATAGTGACTTAACAAACACACATCAATGTTTAGTCACAGATAATTGACTTAAAAATACCATAAATGTTTAAAATAATAGATTGACTTATATACGCAAGTGAGTGTTTACAGCTAGGGATAAAAAACTAAAAAATAAAATAAAAAATATTAATTTACACATAATAAAAGTGTTTGAAAACATCCATCACTACAGAGATAAACATTATATTATGAATGTTTAAGAGCGATGGTTACAGTCTCAGATAAACAGAAATTGACTGACAAAAAACACAGACATCTGACACTGTGTTGTACTGGTGGACATAAAAGTTTTTTATTAATTACTATATACAGTTTAATATAGGTAGTAGGTGTGGTTCAAGATTACACCTCACCCACTAACACTGCTCACATACATAATGAGAAATAAAAATAATAATCATTACATCATTATTCACAGTTATGATGATTAAAAAAAACCTACACAGAATAAGCGAACAACAATTATCTACACACCTGTAAAACGTACATATGGACGGGAGAGCCGCATACCGGTACAGGGAAGCAATTATCCCGGTATATAGAAGCTGTCAATAGGATATTCTTAGTAAACGGGGGTAACATACACGCGCACACACACACTTAAGAGGCGAGGCACTCATCACCCCCACACACTCAGGGGCTGGGCACTCATCACTACAGACACTCAGGGGTGGGACACTCCTTATCGCCCCACACACAGCGACAGTACAAGAGCACATTAGCATCTCACAGCTGGTCTGGTTGACGCTCGTACCTGTCCTTAACATATTATCATTACTAACAACACAATCCGTCAACACAGAGCCGGGACTGAGAGCATCACCGCGTAGCCAACCATCCCGCCCACCAGCACACTGATCCCACCGCCCGCCTGCCTGTGTCCACAACTCACGAGTTCTTCTGTGTGTACTGTATAACACAAGCAGGGCCAGACAGTGGATAAAGGGAAAGCACAAGCAATATAATTCACCAAGAGCATTGGAGAGATGACGTGAACCAGGAGCGTGTTAGGAAACGACTGCAGGGGAGTAGACACGGTGTGGGTGTGGGTGTGTGTGTGTGTATTTAGTAGTGGGTGGTGGGCACGGAGGTGGAGCGGATAAACTGCGGGGTGGTGGTGTGGTCGTAACGGAAGCGCCTGTAGTCGTCATGTTGGGCACGGCTGATATGTACGGCCGCCGTGCCGCCATTCACCGGGTAATCGAAGGTGCGTTTACTGTTAAGGTGGGCGGTGTGGGGGTGGCCGCGGGCGTGCTCCAGGGGGTCTGGGCGGGCCGTGGCCCGGTCAAGACCCGGGAACCTGCGGGTTTCTGGCAGCTCGTTGTAGCTGTCAGCTGAGTGGCACGAGTCTGAGCTGCAAGAGTTGTGACGGCGGAGGCTGGCCTGTGAGCGGTAGTGGCGGTTCGTGCGAGACTCCCTCAAGGGGCGGGGGTCCTCTGCCGTGTCGTACATGGACCGTCTACGGGGGTCGTTACAGCCACCGCGGTCCTCCTCGTTCTCGTTAGCTGCCCGTCGCTGGCTCAGGTCATGCATGGACTTGGCTCGGTGGTAGTCTGTACGGTCTGGGGACCTGACCCGCGGCACCCGGTACTCCCTGGTGGGACTTCGGCCGCGAGGGGCTCTGGTGGGACTAGGGGCACGCGGCTCCCTCTGCCAGGGGTCAGGGGTGCGGTGACCCACCTCCCGGCGCCAGGGGTCAGAGTCGCGGGTGTCACAGGTGCCGTAGCCACGGTCAAAGTCACGACCCCGGGGTCGTTCTCGCAGCAGACCGTCCCGGGAGCCGTAGCCTGTGTCACGGTCACTCTTGGGCCACACGCCCTCGTCCCGCCCTCCCTGCTCCACTGACCCCCGGGCCTCCCTCACGCCTGATCCGCCCTTGGGATTGGGCTCCCAGGAGGGCGTACGGCACACTCCACCGTGGGCGTGGGGGCGCGCCTGGCAGTCTGGACGATCTGGACGCTGCCAGTCTCGCTCCAGAGAGCGGAACTTGTCGCGGGCGTCTTGGAACCTCTCACGTGGAGAGACTGGCGACTCACTCCTGAAACACACTACTGCTGGTGAGGTGGCCTACACTACAGTAACAACATGATGGCGGCAGTCTGTGTCATGAAGCCAACAAGTATGAATGATTCACTAACAACAACACACTAGCGACCATCTGGCCACAACCTCACTTACCTGCCTCGCCGCCCTCACACTTACCTGCTTCGCCGCCCACACACTTACCTGTGCAACACCATCATTACCGTCAACAACACTTCGAGAGTGAAGGACTTACCTACATGCTGGCGGCAGGTCTTAAGGCTGATACTGATAACATATACTCAGATAAACAATTACGTCTCACGCTACACTACCGGCACGTTAAGCTGGTCGGTGAAACTAAACTTGGTGCAAAAATCCCATGACACTTTTCCAGGTGGGCGATGACGCCACTGGGGAGGTGACAACATTGTAAACTGTTTCATAATATCATCACAATACAAATGTTAAATGAAAGCAGAGTGTCAACAACGGGACATTCACACAACCCAGGCTCCACATTCTCAACACCACACAATATACACCACACACTATACACCACCACACAGTATATACAAGGATGTGTCCACCCACCGTTTTATATATCATCACATATACCGCCACTCTCTCCCCCTCCGTATATGATATTATTAAACCTGTGCCACAACCTAACACCTGTGGGTGGCGGGGTACTGACCTGTGGCTGGTGTGGGCGTCATGACCTGTAGCTGGTGTGGGCGTGGGAGAGTACTGACCTGTGTCTAGGGCACATCGCAGATCTAGCCTGTGTGGGGCACGGGCGTGGAGGGGCACTGACCTGTCTCTGGTGTGGGCGTGTGGGCGTGGCGGGGTCCTCTTCTGGTGCACGGGCCTGATAGGGGATAGGTCACGGGGGACGCGGGTAGGGGAAGGATGGCGTGCCCCAGGGGGTGAGTTATGAGGGGCGCGGGCACGCCCTCGTGTAGGGGACTGACTCCTGCCTACATACACCTGGTGGTGGGTGGCACTCCTGTGGGCGGCTCTGGTAGGCGGTGGGTGTCCCTGGCCGTGGGCGGGAGGGTCACGCCCACGCCAGGAGGGCTGCACCAGAATGAGTCCCGCCTCCCCCCTCACCTCGGTAGCCACGTGACGCTCCCACTCCTCGTCTGAAATAAACAACAGTCGTCACTACAGGAGCTGACAGCCACGAGACGACCGGAGCAACACGAGGCACAACAAGAGTCAGGCACCACTATCAACACAATATATTTCAGGCCATATAGGGTCAAATACAAGTAAATTTAGCGAGAATGACTACTAAAATAATACCTTTAACCGAGAACATACCTACAACCTAACCTAACCCAAAACAATAACATTTTCCCAGTGTGTCGCTCATACACATAATATGAACGTGTTGACAACTGGAGGGAAATATGTAAAAGGTAAAGGTTACACAATGTTGCTTATTATAGAGAAAATGTCATATATGAAGTGTTGCAAGTTGCCGTTAATTTTTGTTCTAGTTTTCCACGACTTTTCCAGGATTTGAATAACTGTAGGAACCCTGGAACTTAACCTTTACCGAACACAACCTAACTTAACTTTAATCTAACCTAATACAATCTAACTTAACTTTAACCTAACCTAACAGAACCTAACCTAAGTGTACCTAACGCAATCCGACTTAACTGTAAGCTAATCCAACACAATCTAACTCAACCTAACCTAACACAATCCAAGTTAAACTTAATCTAATCTCCCCCCTCCCATTTTTTTAATACAGTTGGTTCTGATAACGATTTCGCTGACGGGTTTTACCAAGGGACCTCCCGAGCGACACACACACACACCAGCCATCTTATACTGTATGTATGTATATATATATATATATATATATATATATATATATATATATATATATATATATATATATATATATATATATATATATATATAGGTGATGGAATCCCAATAATAATAATAAATAAGTAAACATTTTAGCAATCCCGTTCGTGGTACTTTTTAAACACTACTTATTTTCCCCAAGCCTAAAAAAAAATAATAAAAATATTCAACAGTTACAAATTATTTCCAATCGACTATACGTTGCTGTCGAATAAGGAAATACTCGATTCTTTTACTTTTACTCAGTGACCTACATTAAAGGCTCGTGGATGGATTCGACAGGAAATTTTATATTAAAGTTGAACCGGTCGCTTGAAAATATGGAGGTTGCTGGTCAGACAGAGCTCTCCCAGGCGGTGCTAGTAAGTGTTGATGGTCTCTCTCTCTCTCTCTCTCTCTCATAGTTTTACCCCTTTTCCACCTTCCCTTCTCTCTTATATTCGTTTTCCCTTTCTCCCTTCTTCCATTCTCTAGTTTCCTTTCTCCTTCCTTCCAACTCTCTCTCTCTTCTTCTCTTATTCGATTTCCCTTTCTCTCGGTTTTCCTTTCTCCCTCTTTCCAATCTCTCTCACTTTACATTCTCTTTCCTTTCTTCCACTCTCTCTCTTACTGTTTATCATTGTTTATCTGCCTTATTTACGTACATGATAAACAAATTTAGGGCATATCTATCTATCTGCCTTTATATCTGTCTATCTATCACAAAGACGACTTTAAATAAGGTCTATGATCCCCTTCAGAAAATGGCCCCATCCTCCCTCATTGTCCTCTCCTTCCCCTTTAAGAAAATGGCCCCGTCCACTCTCCCTCCTTAAGAAAATGGCATTGCTCTCCTCCCCCTAAGACAATGGCACTGCCCCGATGACCCCGCTAAGTAACGGTACAATCAGAAAAAACTCAAGTACTGTGTGTGTGTGTGTGTAAATGCCTACGAGAAATAGACTAACCGGTTGAATTTTCCCATAAAAACCGGTACATTGACGGTAATAACGCGGTTGGATTCTATTTTCTTGAAGTGTAATATATTTTTCTGGGTCATCTATGGAAAGTAGTCGAAGAAATTAAAGCTCTTTCCCACCACAAATACGTAGAACTTCGGAAGCATCTCATTAAAACAAGTTTGAGAAAATTTATATTGTTTGTTATATTTGTGTGTGTGTTTGTTTAGGGCCAAAATAACTCAATTATGCAGGAGTTATATTAATAAAAAACATACAAACATCGCTGAACATCTAGTACAACTGGCGGGTTGAGGTGTTGATTATATATATATATAATGAACTGTTTATATGAGGTTATAGGAGAGAAGCAACATGAAGGCTGGCTGGTAGTGTCCCGTACGCGCCCCTGTGTGCTCTATATGGCAACGTAACCTCGCTAAACATGCTCCAAGCCAACCCATCTACCCTGATATAACGTACTTGTTCACACCCTCCTCCTACCCCCCCCCACAAAAAAAACCTCTGTCACATGGAGTAACAAAGGCTCTTGGAGGATGATTTTTCAGCTGAGGTTGTCTGGCAGGTGTAATTTTCACAGTTAGAGAAGTCAAGGATCGTTGTTGTGTTTATGGTGATGGAGCTTCAACCCTGATAACAACAACTCTTTTCATACACCTCTTAACATAACCTTATATAAACTAATGTGATGATTTATATATTATTAACCTTCTTATAATATTCACAGATATAAATTTATATAAAAAGTAGCTAGATAGAGTAACTTTCGGGTGTTATAAATGACTGTCCATATTTGGCGGGACAACGGGATAGCGAAGCGGGTGCCGCCTAAGTCCACGTATCTTATTACTAATATTTTCTTCTTAGTTACTGATACCGAAACCTAAAATTAACGATGAATTAATAGAACTTATTAAACAATATATCGCATCTTGATAAACAGTATATATTCCCGCCAATAGCTTCAGGAATACACTTAAAAGAGCATCGAACATTCAGGTTTAAACTCCCGCCTACGACTCGTATTTACAGTTAGGTCAACACTTTTTTCACCCCCTCGAGAGTCGTCCTTGACACCATAGTCTCATTACTATCTTATCCCTTGACCTATATTTACATAGTTCTTAACGGAGACTATAAACGCCCCGCCCTACACAAGACAACTTACATACGATAACTCAAAACTGTGAGAAGATAAACTAGATCCAATATTTAGTTACTAGGTAAGTCTTCTAAACGCATAGTTAAGGTAATAATAATAATAATAATAATAATAATAATAATAACTAACTAGTTGGCATTCCATTTTGAGATCGTCCACTTTCCCAGGCTAAGAGAGCAAACTGGTTCTAAAGTTGATAGGAATTTACCCTCTAGGCCACTATAGTCTACAGAAGAAACTTCAACGTGATTAGTCGACGTATTTTATGACGGCCATTTTGATTTAAGAATTTAATAATGTAAACAAAGGGTAAAATTGAACTAGTTTTGAAAGTCGCACACACGATACATCTCCGAACATCTTCCAGGCTCACCCGCCCACCCACACGTGGCGAAGAGGTTCTTTATGGTAAGAGATGAGACGACCCCCACCCCCCAACTGTCTTGTGAACCCCTGACAACAGCTGTGTGTTCTGAACGACTGTTGTTCAAACTGGTATTGCTGCCCACACACACACACACAGTCAGCCACACCCGAAACAGGATTCAGAGCTTCCAACCTGTATACAGTTTCTCCCCTTAACTTGTGGCCATGGCAACACCTGTCTCACTCCACCACCAGGGAGAAAGATGGCGGTCAAAATGGCGTCGATAATACCCTGAGACTTTACTATAACCCGACCCCCTCTTTATAGTATATATTGTTAGTTAAAATAAAAAATAAATAAACTTACGATTTTTTTTACAGAAAGAGAATAAATGGTTTCTAAAGAAACGATTCGATATTGGAGGTTAAAATGGCGTCGATACTGGCATGGTGAACGTGAGATTAAGAACAAACAAACAAAATGGCGTCCAAATAACACCGAGACTCGAACGAAACACAAAACGCATTCTTATAATCCACGTGGGAAAAACAAACAAACAAACATAAGATTATTAAAAAAACTAAAAAGCAAACTATATAAACAGGACAGAGAGTTAACCTACAAAATGGCGACGAACTTGCACTGAGACTACCCTGAGTTTAGTGGGTAAAATGATTCTAGAAGACCTTAAATATGTAAACAGAGCTGGCAGGGGCGACTCTCTATTGTAGAGGGGGTAGGGGGTGATGGGGGGGTGTTGAGGGGGAAAGGCAGGTGAGTCTTGAGGGGGTCAGGGGTTGTTGAGGGGGATGGGGCACGGGGTTATTGAGGGAGGGGATGAGGAGGTCAGGTTTTTGCTGCCGGATTCACTCGACAAATTAGTGTAGAGAAAGTGAGAGTGAGAAAGACAATGCGTGAGAGAGAGAAAGAGAGACAAAGAGACATATATAGTGAGAGAGAGAGATAGATGGATAGAGAGGATGGACACGTATATAATGTGTAAGTGAAAGTTGCTCTACGGGTCGTATTAGTGATTACGAACGGTTGATGAAAGGGGGGAAGAGAGGAGGAGGGGGAAGAGGGGAGAGAATAAGGGGGAAAGAAAGAGGAGAGGAAAGGAAGAGAGAGGGGGGAAGAAGGGGAGGGGGGGGAGAAGAGGGGTGAGGGGGGGCAACACCAAAGCGGAAGTAAGAGAACGGAAGTCCCCCCCCTGCCCCCCGCCTTAACTAGTGTGAAAGTCGTGTGGTTTAATTCCTTCTTCCGCAACACAAGGCTTTCATTTTCCTCCCTAAGGTGAGAGAGTAAGTGAGAGATAACAGATATGAGACAACAGAGGCGACAGACAATTGAGAGATGAGACACAAGAGGCGAGAGACAACTAAAAGAGGAGATAAAAAAGGTGAGACAGGTAAGAAACAGACAGAGGAGGTGAGACAGAAGAATGAAAGACAGAGGGTGACAGAGACAGATGAGAGAGAGAGAGAGAGAGAGACAGACAATAAGGGTGAAAGAGAGAGATAGACAACACCAAGACAACCATTGCTCAACCCGGGTCTAGCGAGTGACTCCTGCAACACAACCTTGAGAACATCTTTTCTTTTACCCCTCAACACCAAGCGGAGTGAATCACCTTCCACATCCTCACACACACACACGACATTTTCAACCTTTTTCTCGTAAATAAGTAAAGAAAAAACCCAGCATCTATATACGACAGACTCTTTGTGTAATATTGTCTACGGTATCTTGATGTCGTGGTTTAATTGGGTG